CTAACTGCCCGCTCAACACCTTTGTCAACATTTTGATTAGAACTTTAATCCAAAACACAATAAATATCTAGATATCTGGATTCCAAGAAAAGAACAACAAGAAACAAACAAAATTTGCAAGAAGATCTGTTTTCAATCTCTTCAAAAGTGATCCCATTTTTGGAGAAATTTTCGAAGTGAACTGCTCAGTTTTCCAGAAAGAGACACAACAAGTTTGTTGATATTTTTGCCCTATAAAGGTGAAAAAAGATTGTGAACTCTTTTTTGAAATTTTCCCAGACAAAAATCTTTCGAGAGATTGGAAGAGATCTTTTTTGGCTCGTTGAAGTCAAATCCATCAGTCGACCCGAAAATTGACACAAAAAGAGATGAAATAGGGTTTGATACTTGAGACAATTCCCCATATAAAAACAATCAAATTGATTGTTCGATTTCTAAAAGTAAGGAAAAAGCTTTTTTGAAAGTTATTGATTTTTTTCATTTAAGAAAAGGGAAGAGTTGTCAAAAATTAATGCGGAAAATGGCGATTTTCAAATTCAGAACATCAGGCAATGCATTAAGTAGAGAAAATCTTGAAAATTATACAGTTTTCCAAGGTCAAAGATAAAGCATAGTTGATGTAGATTAACTGACTAGAGGAAATTTTGCAGAAAAAGTATCATTTCATCAAAATCGAGGTAAAACTGTTAATAAATACACTAAGAAACAGTTAAAACTTGTGAAAGCTTTTCTTTAGTCTATATCGTAAATTTCGCGTCGAATACTGCAAAGTGTAGATTGTAATAACTACAGGTAAAGATAAAGTGCAAGAAATGAGGAGGTGACTGGCATTTAAGAGGTCAATTTCGAATGTAGATACTGCAAAATAGGACTGCAATGGTTACTGGAAGGAAAATTTAGTGTGCCAGGTGCCCAGAAGTTTACGAGGTTCAAACACAAGTTTAGCTGTTACTTGAAATTAGGAAAGCTTTGACTTGATCAAAACTTGAGATCACTTGAAATTAGTAAGTTTTCGGAAACAAAGAAAGTTCATTTAGATGCAAAACATTGTGTTAGCATGGCTTATCTTTCCTTTCCACACTCACATTGCTCATAAACCAGCAAAAGAAAATAACAAGGCGAAAAAATTCAGTTTTTGAATTGTATATTGGATTTCTTTAAAGACAAAAAACAAAGATTTTCTTTGATATTTAAATTTCTGACTAATCAAGGATTTCTTTTATGAAAAGAAAGCTTTACTTCAATTCTTCGATTACAAAACTTTTTGACACAAAAAGGACAAATCAATGATTGAAAAAAAGACTCGTTGCTAGGGAGTCGAAAGGTGAAAGTTTTGACTATATTTTGTAAAGATTACAAAAACTTAGATGTTAAATACTTTTATTAAAGTTTTAAGAAGTGATAACAAAATGAAATTGAAACATGAAAGATTAAAATGAAAATTTCTCAAAATGGCGTCTTTTAAAGATTTCCCCCTTTGAGCTTTTTATTGGCTTTCTCTTTGAGAAATAAAAAAAACAAAAGTGTCACCGATCAGCTTGTCTATATTGACTCACAAATAAAGGGGGAATTCACGTGAAAGTTTAAGAAAGCAAAAATCAGATCTTTGAGGAATTAGTATCGTAGAAGGTTTAAAAATGCATACTCTATGATTAAACTAGTGTGTTACTGTCACTTTTGCTAGTCCAAGAAAGCAAAGTTTGGCTAAGTAGTACCGATTTATGTTTTTTTTATTTTAATCGTTCTAGGAAATCTTTTCAAGATTTTAATCGAAAACGATTTGAGATTATAATCATTTCACAGGCCCATTGAAAAGACAAGAGATTTTTCAAAAATCGCCTTGAAACAATAAATCAAATGGATTTGTCGGAGAAAAATTTCGCACAGGGGAGATTATAAAAATTGCTCGACGATGAAACTACACAGAATACAAAACATTAGAAATACATACTCTATGATTAAACTGGCGTAATACTGTAACTTTTGAAAGCCAAAAAAGGAAAGTTATGCTATTAAATAATAGCTCTTGAGTTTTTGAAACTAACAAGGGAAGGCCAACTGGCTGAGCCGACCAAATGGCACGCAACCTGTACCATTCAACGTAGAATTGCACGCTGTTCCAAATCCGCTTTCCGCTTTTGTTAAAAGTCATTCTGACAGGAGTTATAAGCGTCTAAAGTTTTGTTAGGACTCAGAAAATATGGGTTTTTGGGACTTAGGCACCTTCCGCGCGGACTCGATTCGACTAGGCCGTGGTTGAGCGGTAGAGCGTCTGTGTCCGAGACCCAAAAATCTCTGGTTCGAATCCGCGTATCGGATTTTTCTGCTTTTTTTCAAGATGTGAAAACTTGCCTTCTTTGTGTGCTCGGACTTGGACCAGCCTCCGAGATCACAGTTTAATCAAACAATCAGTATCAGCGCAGATGGCGCCTAAGACCTAAACCTAAAAACCCATATTTTCTGAGTCCTAACAAAACTTTAGACGCTTATAACTCCTGTTAGAATGACTTTTAACAAAAGCGGAAAGCGGATTTGGAACAGCGTGCAATTCTACGTCGAATGGTACAGGTTGCGTGCCATTTGGCCGGCTCAGCCAGTTGACCTTGCCTTGCAAATAGGATGACAAGATTTTAAAAGTTAAAGATAATATTAAAAGGTTTTAAGTCAAATATAAGATTGACCAAAACAACGAGAAAAATCTTAACTATCTTAACTAACTAACTTAACTAAATGTAAAGTGTAAGTGGTCTCCAAAGAGAATTTTATAAATCTTATACAAAATGTAAAAATCTATATGTACAAATCTTTTCTCCAAAGCCACTTCATCATGCTAGAGGTTAAAAGAAGTTAGGTAATGGAAAACGTTTCTTGAAATTCTATGCACAAAATAATCTAGTGAGAGATTTAGAACATAAAGCCATGGCTTTGAGTGATATTTTGGAGCGATTGAGAAGCGGCTTTCAGCTAGTTTATATAAGTGTTGATTGGAAGTTGTTGTTTTCGTTGATCGTTCTTTTTAGTTTTTTTTATGGACTCCTTCTTGAATTGTTGACAAGCAAAGGACATTGTCCTTTAGCTTAGAAAAATGCGGCCAAATGCACGAAAGCTGTCCTTTTTTGAGGCGGGAATTCCGGGGAGTCAAAACAAATATCGTGATTTCGCTTTTTCATGTCTAGAATTACATCTTTGCCGATTTTCTGAAGTCAAACCAGACACAACTTCTTTCGATATACATGGCCTGGCCATCAAGGAGAATAGTGCAAAATAGGAAAACAGAAGAATTGTTTCACTGGCATTTAGTTTTGTCTCCAACACTTCTTGAAGTTACAGAATTTGTTTAGGATTTTTAAAAGTTCAAGGCTGACAAGGCGATTTGTGGAATGTTTATATAATGGAAGAAGTAGAATATAACTAGATAGACATTAGACATTTATAAGATGCAAGCTTGATAATGTTCTATAAAATATCCAGTTAAATTAGGTAAAATGAGTTTAAACTCTAGGCGCATATTAATATTTCAAAGCACAAAAGCATACAACATCAGCATTTGCTGCTGTACTAAAAGAAACGAAAGCTTTCATGGAATAAATGTAAAAAAATCGTATAAGTCTGATTAACAAAAGCTTGAATCTATCAATAAATTGGGAAAGCGGCATTTTGATATGTATAGTAGCTTGGGATTATTTCTGGAAAGGGGAAAAGGGAGGTGGGGGAAATGAAAGAATGGAGGATTTCGAGAGAGATCTGAATAGAAAGGGAATGAGAAAGGAAATAAGAAGAGAAAGCCCATCCAGAAAGGGGAGATGGACTTTAAGAGAAGGAGAAAGAAGAGAAAGAAGAACAGACCTTTGAGCATTGGGACCCGGACAGCTGAAATGAGGCGCAACAACAGCCATTTGAACTCTTTTCTTTCTACCCTTTCACCTCTTTTCTTCCACATCCAGACACCCTTTCTTCGTTGAGATCGTGAAAAACACATGGCCTTACGGCGCTTGTTTTGAAATGAGGAACAGCTTTAGACTCATTGGGCAAGACTTTAGGACAGTGAGAAAAGTTTAAAAAGCTTTGAATCAAATTGTGATCAAATACTCAAAACGGAAGCACTTTTAGATTTACTAAGGCATCAGCAAAAACAAAGTAATTTTTAGTTTGTGAATATCAATCACACAAAAATATTCTTCCTCTAGGCATCCTAATGGGTTTCATCTTGTAATTAAACTTGATTAGTTGAGAAAATCTATAAACAGCAAACCGATGAGGTATTGGAGTAGTGTAATAAAGTAAAGAACTGGATGGCAAAGCATTTTGGAACCATTGATTGTGCATTTGTCCGATAAACAAGAGGTCACATTTTTGAATTCCGGGGTCTCCAGCAATGTATTCCAACCCACTGCAAGAAAAGGTATCTAGCATGTTCAACTAACCAAAGCCAACATCTACAGCAATTTTCCAGAAAACAGTGAATAATTTACCAGCACAATAAGTGCTTTAATCAGTACTTGGCTAATGTTTAGACTGCAGTACGGTGGAAGAACTTCACAAATGAGAAATCAAGTTTTTACAGTGTGTATTGTAGTGTGGCTTGTGCCTTTCTCAAGTCAATTTTTATCAAAACAACAAGTAAATTGTAATTCCATTAATTTATTAAATTAACCACACGAAATCCCAAACGGCCAACGATTCAAAGTGAAGACCTCTGTCAAACAGTCAAAGTGAAATCATAAAAATTCAGGTAATTTTTTTAATATTTTTCGTTAGATCTGGGTTTAATGAATAAAAACGAACTCAAAAAATGCAAAATTTAAGCGAAAAAAGGAGCAGCTCAGCTGCAAGAACAGCTTTTTTTGGGTACAAGGGGAGAGTTTAGGGTACAGAGAAAATAGATGAAAAGCGAATCATTTGAAGTTTAAGTTAGAATCTTTAAGATTGGGTACATTTTGGAGCACAGAGAAAAAGATCAATGAAATAAATTGAATTTAAAAAGTAGATAAAGTTTTTTAGCTGAATTGCGTGTTCATTGCTTGGAGCAACTCGTTCCGGAGCTCTTTGTCCCGAGATTTGATTGACGCCATGATGTGACGCACAAAAGCCTCGTGGTTCTGCAATTTGCATATTTTCTTTACCATATAAGATTTTAGAATATATTTGCATATAGTTCACTTTTTTTAAGCAATACTTATATATTCTGCTTACAATTAGGCACCTCAAAGTCCCAGTCAAGCTAGGATCGCCTTTGTACTTTATCGTCACATAAACAAGCGCTCTCTGGCACACTCAATTCCTCATTTTACTTACTGTTTATTTAGCACAACTCCTCAAAAAAGAAAGAGTCAATGATAAGTACTTTGCGCGTTTAGAAACGCACAGCCTATGGGGCTCCTCATTTTCAACACCCATAGGATCAAGCTGTTAGCAAAAACGATACGTTTATTATGCTAGATCCGATACGTTTACTTGAGCACAATATGCGGCTGATTTTTCCTTATTTAATACCTGTTGTCGTAGTGGTTGCACGGGAATCCATTGGATACACTTCGCCGCCTTTAACACCAAGTTGTTTGCCTGGAATTCAAGCAGTTAAATATTTCTTGGCTTACATTATTCTTAGCTTGTATAAGATTCAATTTCAATTACTCACATCATTTTTCTCGGAAGCACCCAATCTTGGATGGGTGACCTTGCATGCGAGTGCTGTATAGAAGGCCTCCAGCGCTTCCTCGATCAATTCACCGATCACAAACGGGAAACCGATTGAGTTGAAAGCTTGCCGAATCTGAAAATTAAACAATTTATACTCGAAAAAGTTTCAACTTCAATCCTAAACCATTTAACTTTTGAACAACAATTCTAGTCTCGCTTCTTTGCGTGATTTCAATTCTGTTTTGCCTTTTAGCTAGCATTACCTAATCTCAAAACTCGGAGATTTATCCAACCTAAACTTTTAAATTTTGGGGGTTAATGCTAGTTTTTTCTGACTCTTTCTTGTGACTAGTTGCTTATTTATTCTTTCTATCCACTGCATGTTTCTTACTCTCAGTTAATTGAATGTGCCGCAAATTTGAATTTAATTCCTTAGATTTAATTTGTATTTAATTCCCTTCCCTTAAATATTTGAATTTAACTCAATTTTTGAACTTTTATTACAAAAGTTTAAAATTAAAAATTAAATTCCTATCCTTTTTGTACGTTTATGTTTTCTGAGCCAGAAGCGGCTCCTTCTATATATTTACATATTGGGCTTACTTTTTTCATCCACCATGAATAAAGTATGATTATTATATTATATCAAAGCCACTCACCGATCCGGGTGGATTCACGTATTTGACTCTGTTGTGATTGATGGGATGGATGGATCTTGGTGGGTAGATGAGACCCGATTGAGCTCCACCCATCAAACCGCGTAATCTAAACGAATCGATCAATTTTATTATTTCCACCAATCACTCACTCTGTACTCCTTTCGGCCAATTCGAAGAGGATAAATGGAGAGGCCACACACTAAAAATGTTCATTATTAGTTTGTTTTTTGTAATCAAATTTTTGCAAAATCCATCTGGATATGTCTTAAGCTTTAACCATAGTCCTGCCAAGTCCATATTTTACTTTGTGCTGTGACAAACGCGAGATCTTTAGTACACTCAGTTTGTTTTTCAGCGACCCTACCAGGCTCTAGTGTGCCAGAAGGTTTGTGTTTAGCAGAATACAAAGTACAGCCAACCCTTTCCCTTGCTTACTTGAATAGCCATCCGATAGAAATCAATGGAATAAGCAGCGGGTTGTTGTGAACGAATGAATTGATCCAAATCGGAAGCCACTCGATGCAGCCACATGATATCCTCTTTCATGCCCGGGTTCTAAAAGATTTGTTTGTTAATTTATTTTTTTGTGTACCTCAGAATATTTCATATACTGTCGATCATCTTGTTCCCTTTTCCCCATTGTCTCCAACGCTTTCATGCCCACATTGTAGGCGAGCAGCAATTTCTCAAACACCACCTCGCTTGGCTAAACGTACAGTAATCTCTTTAAAATTATCAACAGAGTACTGTAATTTGTTTCAAAAAGTACTCATTTCCTTAAAGGATAAGACATGTTTAACTTTGGTACAAAATAGGGTAGATCAACACTAGATCAGTAGTATAGATCTAGACTTACCATATTATAATGATGTGACGAGTAGGGGATGAATTGCTGAGAGATCGGATGAATCGATGGATCGTTTTGTTGAGGGATTTGACCGGGCAGAAGTGATGGAGCCGAATGACTCTGATGGATGGATGGAGGCGGCCCTCTCACAGATGGATCAACACCGCCATTTGGCACCATCATCATTCTAAAGGAGAAAAGTTAAATTTTCAAGAGTATGGCTTACGGGTATGGCTGAAATTGTTGTGGATGGAGGTACATTGTGTGCGGTCTGGGTGAGTGATGAGGCGTGCCTTGACCCATGAAATGTTGTTGTGGAGGAGCGGGTGGGGGCATTGAGGGATGGAATCCGAATGGCAGTTGAGGATCGTAAGCGTTTGGTCGCTGGAAAGTCGATGATAAAAGACATTACTGGATACAGGATAACTATATAGCTAGAATAAATTTGATGTATCATTGTACAGAAGCAGTTACTATTAAAAGTGTACTACAATACCTTTAATTGCAAGGGAAAGTCGGTTACGGTAAAGCTGCATGTTTCTTTTAAGGATATTCAGCCCAAAGGAAGCTTTAGCTGTAAATTGGTATTCATTTAATAGATATCTACAACTGTTATTTGCTAAACCGGTTACGGTAAAGCCATCTGTACTGTCTCGTGTCAAGATATTCAACCAAAGCTTTGTATTATACTTATAAATAACTTTTTTGTTTACATAAAGGTACAGTAATCTCATACTATCAAAACTATAAAGAACAAACCATGTAGTTCATATGCGATGAGTGGAAATGTGGTTGTCGTTGTGGCGGTCGTTGGTGGAATTGTTGAGGCATCATTTGAGGGGCGACTATTTGTGGTGATGGTGGTAACTGGAAATATCATTGATGCTTCGATAACCAAAAAACAAGTTACCTGTTGCTGTGGTTGTTGCTGAGAAGTGCTTGCCGCGCTTGCAGCATCATTCTCCTTGTACAACTCGTGCCAATATTTGGCGACAATGAAGAGAATCTCTGGCGCCACTCCGTCGCCCGTTCCAGAAGCCTGGAATGGTGTTGATTGTTGATGTTGGAAGATTGTAAACGATAAATTGTCTTGGATATGATAATTGTCCAACTGTTTACCTTTTCAATTGCTCTACACGCTTGTTCAAGTAGAGCCGGGCTTTGCTCCTTGCAGTGGAGCAATAATTGGGTACAATTCTGAGTGGAAATCGCGTCTGCAGAGTGAAGGGCGTCCACGGCAAGATGAGCTGCCTGAAAGCTCATGATAATACGCTTGCAAACCGTTTTATAACAGAAGCCACGTCTTGAAGCCAGATCTAGCCTGACTTCCAGTTAGACCCTGGTTCCTGGGACGGGACCAAAATCAGGCTCAGTCTTTTTAATCTATTTATCTCATTACAGTACTTTGGCATAAAAAGTATTCAACTTTTAACTTTTCTACACAAGAAATCTGAGATTACGGTATGCAATATCCAGCTAAAACGACTTCTCTTCCCTACCTGAGTCACCGTAGCCGCGTCTCGGCTGTATCCCGGCTGCAAAATGATGTCAGCCACTTCTCCCGGAACCAAATGTTTCCTCCACGTGCTTCGCAAGATCTCAATGGCTGCTCCACCTGGAAAGCTCAATTTCTAAGTAATTTACTTGCTTTCAAACCGATTTCATCAATTTGCGTCTTCAACCACGACACATGTTGACTGTAAGTCCTGGTCGGCCATGTGCTATTCACCAGATTGTTCAATCCCAACGCATAAAGACCGATGAGGAAAGCGGCTATTTGAAGCTTTCGATTAACGCCTAAATTCATATTTATTTATATTTGCATTGCTATTTACATTTCATTTCAAAGTACAGAATAATTGCATATAGAATAGTGATATGCGATCTAAAGTATCCCACCTTGTTGCTGAACGTTCGGATTCGGTTGATTATTCCAGTGTTCTCGTGATTGCGCCTGTGGTCCGCCAGCTTCGGCCATGATTTTCTTCGCAAACTCCAGGTAATGGTGACCAACCGCCTCACTTGGTCGCTCACTTCCATACGCGTAAAGAGCATTCCATTTAGATCTTCTGAACAAATTCTGACATTGTACAAAAATATTCTATATATGTACAGCTTTAAATTGGTCTGAATTTGTTTGCTTTCTTGCTTCATCGATGTTTTGAGATTTCTACGGCTGGCAGACCTTGTAATGCTTAACTTCTACATTCAAACAACCAGGCATGTAACTTTATGACTAGTTCATAGTTTTTAATCAAGAAGTGGAGGAATTGGAAGTAAAGAAAAAAGTAGATTTCCGGATTGAACCCTCGACCTTTGCTCTTGCTCTAACCACTGAGCTCTTCGATAGTTTAACTTGTCAAGTGAAAGAAGGAAAAACAAGGGGAAAGAAGAAAGGAATAAAGAAAGAAGGAAATAAGTCATTGTTCGTAAACGTACTTTTTGAATAACTCCATAGAAATGCAAGCCGAATCATCGGTGTCTATCGGCTCAGCACAAAGTGAACTGACGGAGGATCTGCCAACTGACGGAGGAGCCGTTGAAGAGCATGTTGACTAAAGAGTTAGATAAATCTCAAATCTTTAACCTCTGCTATATGTTAGTACCATGACTAGTATAATCTCTAAAAACAGTTGCCATTTTCTCACCGCTTGTGGACTATTTCGATCGGTGCTTTCCGATGTGGATTGTTCGCTTTGTCTTTCGACAGTCGATTGGGTGAGATTTGATGGAAGAGCACTCAAATTCGACAATCCACGGGTCATTTGCTCTGTTTCATCATCGGCACTTTGTCCCTCGGGTCCCTCGGATCCCGATGGGAGTTCGCCTGTCGACTCCGCGGATTGGCACGACGCCGATCTGGAATGGAAAATGTTATCAATGTAAGACTAGATTGTACTTTTGCACATTGTGTCATTGTTTTAATCTCTTGCAATATTCCTTACCTTGACACAAAAGCCGGTGCCGAGGCTGCTTGAGTTGTCTCTGCGACAAGGATCTCCAATTCTTCGGGCCGATATGGATAATGTGGACGAGCTCCCTTTTGACAATATTTCTTGTAGGATGGATCTTGTTCGAGGAAATAACAAGCATTCGATTGATGTCTCCTGAAAATATTTGATTCCATTCGACTCTATTTTTGTTCTTACATCTCATTGTACATCAAATGCATTCTCGGGTCGAGCAGTCGATCCAACACATGTCCGAGCATCTCGTTTGAGTCTTTGTAACTGAAGCTTATGAATTGGAATGCTAAACAATCTTACTTAATATAAGGCGCAAAGTATGTATGTATGTCTGTCTGGGCCATATAAAAGCTTCCACAGAAATGTTCACTTACCCAATCATTAAAGTCGATGCTAGACAACCCTTTTGTCGTCGCACTGTCTCCGTCAACATTGGACAATCGTCTTCCGAGAAGATCTTAAAGATAAAAGCTAAATTTCAAAATAAAGCCTCTTATCATTATATTTTCACTGAATTTTGCTAAATGTTAGCGTTATTAAAGCTATAGTACTTCTAAGATTGCCAAAACATTTGTCAAATCTCAACCTTGCATATGAATCTATTAAGGAAGTTATTATAATTATTTTCTTCTTAGTCTAACCTGTCTGCTTCCCAGCGCATCCAAAGCAATCTTCAACGAAATGACGTCATCTGTCGGCAATCTGCCGATATTCTTAGCTGCACTCGACGCCGGGCTACAATGTACCGATAAATTAAACCCAAAAATTTCTTTCTTTTACCTATGATTCCCATTTGGGTACATGTTTGTCGTATAAGAGAGTGAATCGAAGATGAAATGGCATAAAGCAATTGATGGAGAGAAGAGTGACGGCCGGGAGATTCGATTGCACAATTTGGCCGCTCTTTCTCTCACCATTCCCAGCTCGCATTGGGTGATCTCGATTCCGCGAAGCACTGATAGAAGATAGGCCTCCTGAATTGGGGATTTGGTTACAATTTTGATTGCTTTTACAAATTTAACAGAAAATCAACAGAAAAGAAAATTCAACTCACCAAATGAAACAATTTCACTTGAAGATACTTGTTCGCCATCGGCGTCTGCGGAAGTTCGAGCACGAAAAGCAGAAAATTGAACAACTTTGAATGCAACGAGGAATCGCTCACGAAGATCTAGACTTTTGCTGATAAAAACATTCTCAACTACCAAACCTTTGCCAGGAAAGCGGCTCTTTCGAAAGTCTTTATTGTCCTCTCAGAGGTGGCCAGTAGTTTTGCATCGGTTACCAATGGAGAGATCAGTTGATTCAAAATCATCTCGTTTCTTCCATTTCTGATCGGTTTTTTCCATTTCTTGATGTCCTGAAATACTTGATACTGAAAATACTTGATAAAGGCACAACTGTATTGCATCCTCTGATGGTTATCGTTTGCGTGGCAAAAATAAGGTCGAGTCTGGGGGAGGAAATTTTCCTGGGGATTTCGGATGGTGACGCCCGAGACACTGTTCCCCAATTTGGTCCAAAAATGAAAAAATACGGGCAAAACTTCCCAGGGGATTTGGGCATAGTGGCCCCCTAAACGGTGAGGCTTACGAATTTATGGCTTCCGAAAAGGGAATCATCTTATGCTGAGGCGGTTACGCACACAAAGAACACCTTGCCAGTTATTTACATAGAGATTTCTTTGCTTTGTAGATGATAAAAGAAGAAGATAAAGCGGTACTTGTGACTCTTACGCACACCAATTTAAATAGTAAAATTTGCATACGAACAAACACATTCTCTCAGAAGACCAAAAAGAAAATTTCTTATTTTTACTTTTTAGTATTTTAGTTTACTTTTTACTTTTACTTTTTTGTCATCGCAAAGGCAAAGATCTGTTTGCCAAAATTCTTCAAGAAATTTCAATCTGTTTTCCACCTGATCGTCAAATTGTCTGAGATTTTTTCAAAATGCAAAAAATATGGCTTTTATTGTTTTTTAAAATGGAAAACGAGCGGCGTTTTGTGCGCAATATGCAAATGTGAGCGTCTTTGTATGCTAATGATAGGCAGGTAGGCAAATGGATAGTCAAAGCTAATTGGTGGGCGTAAGAGTCACAAGTACCGATAAAGCTATAAATTTGTACCCGGGGTTTGCGGATTCGAGGAATTCATTAGAAATATCTTTTATTGGGTCAGAGAGCCTTGATTGGTTAAAAAGTAGCTAAACTGAGAGGACAGTGCGATCTGAATTGAGCGTCTTACCTCTTAACCTTATTTTCCTTTATTCTTCAACTTTTTCCATTATTCACTCACCCAATTACTCGATTCATCCATTCTTTTCCCTCGTTCACTCTGTTTCACCAAATGATTGATGAGTGACGATGGAAGCGATAGATCCGGTGGAGACGCTCGAAGGAATTGCATCAACTCCAAAGCGCTCGCGAAACCTTCTTTCTCATACCTAAGTTTGGTCTTAAAATCAGAAATTTACTTTCTCTTCACCCATGAACGTGGAGAGCTTCACAGCGAGCAAATTTCAACTCCAAACCCTCGACCGATTCGTGCGCTGACGCCAGCAATAGGTCAATGTCCCCATTCGGGAATTCAGTGCTACAAAGCAAGTTTTGTTTAGCTGACTTAATGGAATCACGAACTTGTTAGGAAGATGAATTTGCCCAGACGATCCGGCTTGATCCCGGGGTGGATGGAAAGCGGGCAAATTCTGGGGGAGATCACTCTCTTGTCCGCTTTCTGTGCTTTCATCTCCGCCATCCTGTTGCCCGGCTTGCACCAGTCGAGCAGCTCTGAACGAAATTAAGTGAATAAGAAATTTCATTTTAGATTTAAGTATTTTTCACATCAAGCTTATATAATTGGTTTAACGAAATGTCTTACCTTCTGGCTGCCTCCCTGGTCGCCCTTCTTAAAGAGCGATGATCGAAGAATTCGGGCAAAAATACTTGATGTCCCCGCCGTCCCATTGCACCACCCAATGGTCGCTTCTATAACGTTTCATATCTTTTTCCACTATCTTTTTTACCTTCTTTTTCTTCTTTTTCTCGGGAAAGACATGACAATCGTATGATTGCAAATGGGATCCAAACGGTGATGGTCCTTGTGGAAATGGGCTGTGCAAAGTGGGTGATCGTTTCTTGTGAAGAAATGGAAGTGATGGGAAATTTTCCTCAGCCTCCTCGATGCCATCAATTGGGAGTGAGGTGGAACAGTGCTGAAAATTAGTTGCAAAGTAATGATAATCTTCCCCAGTTACTCTTAGACTTTCAAAAGTTCAATCGTATGCGTAAATTTAAATTTATTTAACTCAAAATGACCTAGGGTTAGACCTAAAAATAGAAGTTCAGCTGAGCCAGATTCAGAAACACAAAATTCTTGGACTTGCCAGACTGCCAGACTTGCTAGTCATACCCAGCCTTGGACCTGGCTTCTTTAGAGCCCTGGACCCTGGCTTACAACCAAAGCTCTCTCCAAACCAATGACTAACCTCAGATGATAAATGGTGAAACACGTCGACTCCATTGATGAGACAATTGTCCCATGACACTTGACAAGCTTCCAGTGCACAGAAGAAACCCGGGAAAGAATCTCGAGAGAAATGCGCGGCCTCGGGTTTCAATTTCTCTCCTTTCTCGTCGCAAACCCAACAAACCAATGCGTGATGCTAAAATTGAATGAATCGATGATTTCTTTGATTTGTCAATAGCTTAGATCAAACCCAAACCTGTGGAAATGGGTTCTCCGGGTGATACTTGGGCAAAGCTTTCCAAATATTCTCACAAGCCATTCGATGTGATGATTGGAGATAAGTAGTTAACTGAAGAGTGGAATTTGTTTGTAAATTCATTTCTCTAACCGCATTTTTCTCTTGTGTGGTGAGGAGTGGATTCAACGCCGCGCATCGCCACAATCTGACGATCTCGTCGAACAACGTCGAGCAATTGTATTGTAAACGAGCGGTGGTGTTGATTACCGAGTTAGCGCTCTGTAAAGAGATTTGATTACATTTGATTAGATTTAAATTCTACACCTTGACCGATCCATGGAAAGTCCATCTTCCAGTTTGTGCCAATTTGGCCATGTACCACCAAATGAGCATCGGCTCACTCATCAGACATTGCTCGGTGATTATGTGCAAGAGGGTTGTCGCGTTTTCGTCCCGTCGCCGGTACATCTCTCGCACAATCGACAACAGATTCCAGAGAGCTGAAACATTCCCGTTTTCTTTATAACGATGTTTTAAGCGTAGAAGAGGGTTTGATCATTGATTACCTTAGCACTGTGATACACAAGTAGAAGTTGATACCAGTGTTCGAATTTTAGCAAGCTTTGATTTGTTTTAGTACCCTTAAAGTCACAATACTAAGCCTAAAACCATCATTATCACCATAGCATTAGATTTGCCTATAATTTTTCAAAGTCTGTCACCCTTGGTCCGTTGGTCTATTTATAAATTCTTTACGAAATAAAAATGAACTTTCAAACTACTGTTATTATACCATCATTTTTTAATGTACATATTATATTTTTGTGAGTTATCTAGCCAAGTTCCAAATAATTAGCATAGTTTTATTTCCTCTGCCTGTAAGTACTAGACATGGGAAAATTCCAAGCCGAACCTTCGTTTCACCTTCGTTTTCTCCATCGTTTCTTGGCCGATTGCTCTGAAATTTTGCCTACAAGCTGAAAATGTCGATTTCTATCTGTAGACAAAATTTCAGAGCAATCGGCCAAAAGGAAGGTCGAATTAGTTTCAGATTGGAATTTTCCTATGTCTAGTTTCTGCTCAATGTTTCCTGCCAGAAAACTCTCTGAATACCATTCAGACCGGGAATCGAGCCCACGTGGCAGGCGAGCATTCTACCACTGAACCACCTGTGCGCTGGTCAATGATGGAAATTATGGGTCTATATAAGGTTTCTCAAAAGCCCCAGCTTGCCCACCTTCCGGTTCACGACTTCTGAAAGATCGGTGCAGCGAGGAGAACTCAAAAGAGACGGCGGTTTGTGGAGAGGACATTGACTCGACGTCACTGAAACCAAATTTATTTTATTTCTAATGGGCTTCCATTGTTTTTAAGTATATATCATAATTTGGGATTATAAATAACTCTCACCAATGCACTTGTGGTGACGGGATGCAGAATTTGTTGATGCTTCGTCGTACATTTTCCCTAAGCACATCTTCGTTGAACACCCAGATTGCCCGCTGAAAGTTTGAATAAAACTAAATAAAAAACTTCTTTTCTTTTCTTTAAGGCTTGGAATTTTCTAAAAGAAACCTCGCAATGAGCAGGGACGCTTGAATCGATGAGCGTGTGCGTGTTGATCTCCTCGTCGCTGACTTTTCCCAGCTCATCGAGCAAGATTTGGGCTGTCGGCAAGTACTGAACAAGTATTGATCCAGTAAAATCGAAAATTTCAATCAAATATCCAATCAAACCTGTCTGGGCAATTTGTCCAACAGATAACTGATGAATACCCGCAATTTGTCCGCCTTCATTTCGGAGATCGCCTCGATTAATGGCGGACGGAATTCGACCTAGAAAATTTGCTCATTGGATGTTTAATTTTTTATCTATTTAGGTAGATATTTTCGATTGCTGATTACTTGATACTTTCGAACTCACTCGATCAATTTTCTGCATTCGATAGAGGCACAAGGCAACCGCATGTTGGCACCATTGGGATTTCAAGTCACAACTGCACTCCAACTCCACGATTCGGCACCTAATTGTGTTTGTTTAAGCTGATCAAACACAATTTAGTACTTTTGTATATAAATTACCTAATTAGCTTTAGAACTTTCGATTTAGAAAGTTCGACTTTGCCTTCGATTTTCGACTCAGAAAGTTCGACGTTTGCGCTTTCCTTACAAGAGTTTAAAAAAAAAACCGGCTAACACATTTGCAAGGAACTCAAAGATAAACAAATTGCTTATCATTCAGGCTAATTTGCATTCAACTTTTCAATTTAATAGATAATTCTCAATTCCAATAAACCTGTCAATCTTGGCGGAAACTCGATGCTCATCTTTATTGTGACTGATTCCCATTTTACCCGTTTGCTCATCAAGAATCGCTTTCCCGCGTACAAGACCGGATAGATGGAATCCTAGAGAATTATATTAGAAATTAACTTTTTGGGTGTTCAAACCGATTTGCAGTACATCGTGCACGAGGTTCTCTTTTAGCAGCGTCTCCCCGCTCACGAACTCATCTCCATTTCGGTTTGCCAAACAACTAAATAGCTTTGTGAAAATGAATGATAGCGTTTAATAGTGGGTTTTCAGTTCAATATCTTTTTTGAATCATCTACAATGCTTAGCAATCAACAAGAGCGATTTGTTTCACCTGTACAATCGAACATCCTCTTCACTCTTCGGAAAACAATACTGAACGATCTCCATGAAATAATCTTCGGGCAACATGTTTGTCTTGTAGATCGACATCGGATTGTCCAGATTTTCCATGAAAAGTGTCTGAAAAGGTTTGAGTTTAAGAATTTGAGGTAAAAGATCGAAATAGTAAGACTTGAATGACAAATACTTGATATTTCTCTTGAATGCTCTCGAAGGAGAGGTGTTGAGCGCAAGCCTCGGCGGCGAATGAGCGCAATGATCCGATTTGAGCACCTGAAAAAGCCGACTTATAGTTAGAATGATTTGTTTGCTTGAAAGTTTTCACATTTGAAAGTCGGTGGTTTCTTGAATATTGCGATGTTATTTTTACAGTCTAGCGGAAAGCTTTCTATAATGGTATGGGTTTTGCTACAGAAGTTTGTCAAACTTAAATCCAACTTAATATGGATGATTTTTTTGCTGTACCGGAAACAACGATACCCCGTTGATGATGTGAACTGTGTGGCCGAGTGAGCGTGTGAGTCGACGAGGCGGCTGAATGTCTCCCCGAAACAGCCAACAAACGATTCGAGGGCCCAGGTTGATTGTCGATTTCTTCTATAAAACAAACTTTGTTTAGTTACGGTCAGCTTGGATTTGTCTTTCTCTAGTAAATATCTAATTTGAACTCTTCAAGCGATGCTTCGAATTTTGAATTCTTCAATGCTACTAGCAAATTTTGACAAGCAGTAATAGGTTGAGTACCCAAATTCATTTTCTAATTGAAGCTACCTGAAATACGGTTTTTTTCATTAGATTCCCCAATCATTTCTCTTGAAAAATGACTTTTGAAAGTTTCTAAAAAGCTTTTTTAAGGGTTGTTTTATTAGCAAGGATCAAAGTGTTCAAAAACAACAAGATCTGATGATGCTGTTTTGACTGTTTCTTCCCATGAAGCCTATCTTAATGACAAAATAAAAAGGATAGCGCACAAAAAGTTAGATCGACAAGCAAAATTTCAGAATAATCTGTTTAGCGGTTTTCTTTATGAGCTCATTTTTCAATATTTTCTTTCTGGCAGATTATTCTAAAATGCTAAAAATTGTTTTAAAATGATAAAAAGTAAACGATAAAGATTTATTATGAAAGAAACCGTTTGGTATTTGGTAGTTTGAGACTTTAGATAATGATATTTTTGATTTAGATAATGAAATGAAGAGTGCAAGACTTAGTACTCAATCTAATATATTGCTATTGTACCTAGATAACTAAAGTATATTCGGATATAAATTGATAAATTTAGTCTAACAGATATTGCTATTGTTAACCAACCCTCAGCTCCTCCGCGATTCACATCTCCAGTCCATCCTCGCCAATTTTGTTGTGCTATGTTGAGGGATTCGATCGACTGCCATGAGCTTGACTCTTCCTCGAATCGCTCGGAATCCTGTAGAGGTTAAAAATGTTAAATAAAAATAAAAAAATAGAGAAATATGTCGTTAATATGTTGTAAATACCTCGAAAGATATCCGATCGACGTCGTCGAGGAGACGATTCTGCTCGTCGAGGTCCACCGGATGGAGCCATAGCTCGTCAACATCCTCCTAGAATTCTTAAGATATGATAAAAATATACAAATTTTCCTAGTTTTCAAATGTATTTTAAGTACTAGAATGAATTTTAGATTTTTTTTCGTTCCTATGGCTTTTGATCTGGTTTTATTATCTTGTTTCTTCAGTTGTAAATTGTCACAGAATTATAGGTCAAAGATTATTTTTTCTTTCTTTGCAAGCACAATTCTCTTTTTTTTGCTCTAGAATTTGACCCAAAAATCTTATTGGTTGTATGTGGTTGTGAGTGAGAGAAAATGGGTCAAAGTCACACACGACCAAAACCATTTTTTCCAAAAGATTTGAAATGAAAGTGAAAATTAGAAAAAAAAGGCACGTACTTAAAAAATCCTATTGGAACAAGTTAAATTTTGCATAACTTTTTATAATTTAATAAAGATCGACTTACAAAATTCGGTCGAGCATCCATTCTTTGACGTTTTTCTTTGCAATGATCACGAGTGACTCATTTTTTTGTTTCAGGCAAAAGTTAGGAAATATTCTTGAAAGAAGTCAAAAAGTCTGGAAATAAGTAAGTAAGTCACAAAATTTTTCCAATAAAAGATTGAAAACAAATTTCAAAGCTGATTTTGAAATGGAGCTAGAGCTAATGATCGAAAAACAAAGCAAGTTCAAAAAGTGTAGTGTAACTCTTTAGCAAGCTTGGCTAGGTTGAAGGGAAAAAGGAGAAAGGCTATTCGGTTTTAAAAGAAAAGAAAAGAGAATGGTTCTCTTTTTCTGTTGGGACAGCGGAAGAATAGGAAAAAGGGACAAGGCACGGACTAGGACAGAGATCGGAATGAGAGAATGGGGGGATGGGGGATGGGTGAGGAAATGGAGAGAGATTGGGGAAGGGGGTAGAGAGAGGGAGATAGATGCAATGGGTAGAGAACTGGGGGAATAGGTACTGTCACGAGAAAATGGAGTATCGGAGAGGTAGGACTCGGACTCGGAAAAAGGAAGGAAAATGGTTTGGGAGAAGACAGAAATGCGATGATTTTCTTTTGCATTGAGATAAAAAAAGGAGTATAGAGAAAGCAGAAGTGAGATCTGAAAAGATAAGAGGTTGAAGATCTAAGAAAGAAAGGAAAAATGGAAGAAGACTTGGGAACCAGCACTGGGATGAGAAAAGAAAGGATTGGAGAGTGTATAGCGTTTGACAGTGAGTAGAAAGAGGTGAGGGGTTCAGAGAAAAGAATTTGTGATGGAAAGCGATGAGAAAACGAGAGGAAGGAGGAGGAAGTTTGGAAATGGAAGAGAGTGAAAAAGAATGAAAATAGCAGAGAACTCTAAGAGAACCGAAACAATCACGATCGATAGTGACCAGTGGCGATTTATGGGTGAAGAGGGGGAAGAGATGGAAAGCGGGAAGAGACATCACCCCCTCACACTGACCGACACCGACCCTGGCGCCATCTTCCACCAATTTTTTCGTCCTCTCTTATTTTCTTTTTCCACAGAAGGAGTGCCGTCGTGTGCCCCTCAACTCTGCCCTCATTTTTGCCATTCAAAGCTCGATCAAATGCGGTGTCAAAACAAGCGAAATTTCAAGAATCAGCCGCTTTATGAACCAAGTTTTCGTTTACAAAATTTCTTTTTAACAAAGATATTCAGCAAAATGTCTATTTCATACAGAAAAATCTATCGGTATGGGTTTTTCAAAGATTTTTGCACTCATCAAGAACAGCCAACTTGAGTGGAACCAATCGATTTCAATCTTTACAAGGAGAACAAAAGATTTCAAATTGTAAAGAAAAAGGAGAGGAAATTAAAGTACGTTTTCTAAAGCGTGTCAACTTTCGAACGATACCGAAAACTTGGCCTAAGTTTTATCTAATCTATCCACTTTTTGTTCACAGTATAAAAAAAAGAGACAAAAATAGATAGGGTAGAGCTAACTAGATAAAATTGTAAGGCAATTGTAAGGCAAAATTAGTTTTCGAAAGTTGGCACGTTTTAGAAAAGAAGGAATACTTGCTTGAAATATCAAGACTTAAAAATCAAAAGAATCTCTTTATACATAAATGCAAATCATTGAAAATACCGGGAAATGAATCAAATTGATTGGAAATACGAAAGAATCTTTGAATTCACATTCAGATGAAAATCACATTGTGTACTTGAATTCTTTCTTTCCTTTTATTAGCACGAATTAAACCGTTAAGGGAGTTTTCTTTGGGATTCTCGTTGAAAAATATAAGACAAGAAAATAGAAAAATAATTTCAAAGATGAGCAAGTGAGGCCACCCAAAGGGTTTTCCGCTGTTCGTGTTCCACATGGGCGACAACTTGTTGACAGACGTGCTTCACGAGAGTGCGAACGGCGTGCTGAAATTGATGATGAGGCGTTTGATTAGACTCTGATCTTCTTGATCATTTTCCTAAAAGTTGCGCTTGGGGAAATCTACCGTACTATAGCTTTTTCTAAGCCTAAGCCTCTCAGTGATCTCCCAATTAAAAGACCAGATTGACGAGTATTAACTGACTACTGTAATGAGTACTGTATTATGAAAAGCATATTGACTAACAGTAAGTACTATATAACCAAGTATTGGCTACTGAAAATGAGTACTGATTGCGTGAATACCGATCTGGTTATTTTAGAAAAGAGACAGAAAACCTGCACTACTACATTCTAGTCCTATTATTAAATAATACATTTATTTAAACGAATAATTTGGTACAAAAAATACACAAGCCCAACCCCTAAGCCCTAAATGGAGGGAAAAAACCATATATTAGGCTGGAAAGGTCAAAGTGAAAATTTTTTTCTTTTCTTCTTATCAGTATTCCCCAGCACCAAAAGCATTCCGATAAAAAAGGGTTTTTTTTACACCACCCTTCAACTATTGATTACTAAAAAACCCAAATGGAATATTAGTATTTTCTGTTTTATTTTTATCTTTCTTTGAAGGCATCCGAGACTCTACCGAAGGAACATCTTTGCATGTCCTCTTGTTTCACTTCAAGAAAAATTCCACTCCTTTCTGTGAGAGATTAACCATTTTTATGGGCAAGGTTCACTTAGTCTAACAACCGCTTACAGATGTTTCCACCGTTTCGAGAAAGGCGACTTTTCCCTAGAGAAAGAGGCGAGGGGTGGGAGTGTGAGTGACTTCAATAAAGCGGCTCTAACTGAGCTCCTGCGGATCGACAACAAACAATCAACCAGGGCACTGGGAGAACAATTAAAGGCCTCTCATACAACAGTGATAACCCATCTCTATTCAATGGTGTTCATTTGTTTTGAAATTTGTTGCGTGGGTTCCACATGTGCTCACAGATGTGATGAGATTGCAGCGACTCACAGTCTCTCCCGGTACAACAGATATTCCTTTCTTCCACACGTGATTACTGGTGATGAGAAGTGAGTACTTTATATCAACTATCGGAGACACAAGCAGTGGATCGGTCTGATTTTCATCTTTTCCGGAAGCTGGCTGCAGAACCCGATGGGGAGCACTTCGGAGATCGTGTCGAGGTCGAAAATTGGCTCCGCGATTTCTTTGACGATTTTCTAGGCGCAGCCCAAGAATTTCTGGGTGATGGGAATCCGAGCTCTACCTAATAAATGGCAATGAATCATAGATAATAGTGGAAATTACCTTGAATAAATGTGTGTTTTGGTTTTTTATAAAAATACAGTGCAAAAATTTTCACTTTGACCTTTCCAAGCTAATATATGGAAGAAAAACCAATAATCTAGCCGGCGGGCTTGAACCCTTGATCTCCCGACTAAGGTAAAGGGCGCTTAGCGAATCGGCCATGATTGAATGGATCCGGTACGGGAATGTTGATCCTAGCTTTAGGAGTTACTCCAGATCTGGTGCCAATATTTTCAGGTTCAGTTTGAAAAATAGAAAGCTACTTTCCAATCGTTACATTAAGGCAAAGTTGAAAATAGAATGAAGAATGTAAATTAGAGTTCTTTAGAATTATTGTTGATTTTGATATAAAAACCCACATGTGGAGAAACAAGAACGGTGGCTTGATGACAATCGAGAGCCTCTAGTAATCTCTCCTCATTTTGCCCTCTCTCCAACCATTCCTTCGCCGCTTTCGACTGAATCTTCTCCCCGTTCTCGTCGCATAGCTCTTTGATCTGGAAGAAATTTTTGTATATTATTGCTAGAAAGCAAGCCTTATTTCTATTTCTTTATTATTTCTAGAATTACTTGTTTCGAGTTCTTGAATTTTATCTGAATGACGATCGGGTAGATGCGCAACGCGTGGAGACGATTGATCGCCGACGGGGAAACGTCGATAAGACAGTGCATTCTGAAAAGAATTTGAATCAAAAGTTTGGAATTTGTATTTAACTTGGATCAATGCTCTGTTTTTAGATTAAGACTCAATTTTACAGTACCCCTGATCGATCTGTTGTTGCAAGGCCGCCACCGATACAACGTCGAAGAGCTGATCGCGACGTCGCGCTTCTGCAATTGTACAAAATAGATTCTGATTTACATTTGATATCCAAGGCTTATAGATAGACCTAGATAAAAGAAATTTCAATATTTTAATTGAGTTTTGACACTTTGATCAAGAAAGAAATCCCTACTACCTGTCGCAAACCTAACTGCCTCAGAACTTGCCTCAGGCCTGTCACAAGCGTTTTTTCAAGCAAAAATATGATAAACGTGGAAGAGTTTTGAAATCACTTTGCCAGTTGTAAACCTTGAAGAATCCTTTTCTGTGATCCATTTACCTATAATTTCCCCCGCGGCCAGCATTCGCTCCACTTCGGACTGAGAGAGAGCGCGACACTCGGCCACGCATTGGGTAAATCTGAAAAAATCAGCTTTTATTTGATCTACTGCAAAGTTTTGTCAGCATTTGTCCACAAAGCTCTTTGCAAATGTTTTACAATCCAAATTTTTATGGGGATAAGCTCGGAAATAGAAATGGGCATTATAAACTACAAAAAATGACGAACTGTCACACTACAAACACTTCTGACTTGCTTCAAATCTGCCGGATTGACATGATCCATAACTCAAAAAATAGAGGATCTCAAGGGGTTTCGAATGGATAATATATAAATATCAATGCTAAAGAAAGTTACAGTGGTTTGTAGTCCTGACTCGAAATGGACCGTGCTCGCGCGTAGTCGGAGCTACAAACCACTGTAGCTTCCTTTAGAATTGATATTTTTGGGTGTGCTTTAGTCCGTTCAAAAGCTCTTGAGATTCTCTATCTTTTGAGCTATAGATAATATCAATCCAGCAGATTTGAAGCAAGTTAGAAGTGTTTGTAGTGCCCGTATCTATTCGGAAAGACTTTATTTTGGCAATCATTCCAGTCTATATAAATGCTAATTTCGATCTTTAAATATAAATGAAGATCAACAAGTACCACTATCATTTAGCTGAATATCAAATACCACCTTCTCTTTCATTTCACACGTGCAAATCGCGTTCAAACTTGCCGACGACCAGCGCAACGAGTTGCGCTTTATGAGAACACTTGAGAAAACCAATGATTACTTACAATCAGTCCTTACAATCAATTTCATTATCTAATTATTATATTACTTGTTTGGTGCATCGTCAAGGAGTGTCTGAGTGAATGGGGCCGTGTACGGGCCAACGAGGAGAATCGGTCGCTTCTCCGACGCGGCCACCCGTTCCACTCGCTCGTAAACGGCTCTCACCGCGCCCAATAGTGACGGAGTGCCACGGGTGAGCTAGAATTGTTTATAGATTATTTATAAATTAATAGTTTTAACTAAATTCTTTATAATCGGCTAGAATCCGTTACCTTTGGCGCGTTGTAGCGTCCCTTTTGTCTGCCTCGATCTCGGTGCACCAACTCGGCTGACGGGATGATTCCGCACTGGCGCTGACGTCCTTCTCTGAAATTAAAGCTTGGCTTTAAACAAGATTGGATAATAAGCAAATAGGATACAATAAGTTGAATATTTCAATCATTTATTGTAGTTCTTATCTGGATGCCAAACATTACCACGAATTGCTTTTTGGATTGTTTTCAATGAATGTTTGATTTGATTTTTTGCTTTACTCTTTAGCTGAATATCTTTCTTAGAAAAACCTTCTTTATCTTTTAAGATCTTTTAAGATTTTTAAGAATATCTTTTAAGATATTCAGCAAAAGAAAGCTTTCAAGATATACAGCTAGTTTTCGAGATAAGTCATTTTAAATGAGACAATCTAAAGGTTTTGCTTAAATCCTGTTTCTTAAAAAATTCTCTCGAATACAGAATCTATGGTTGATTGGGAAATCGTTTACAGAGCTGTAAAAATGCGATGGAAAATGTAAGTTTTATAGAAGCTGTCGATTGTTCTACATTCTACTCACCTGTCAACTTTCCACGCTCTCCACCGCCCCTTTTGCCCCATGAAGAGAGTGTTGTCCACGTAGACAATCTCTCCCTGAAATAGCTTTTTTTCTAAAAGTCTACAAACATCAAATACAGCTTTGATATCCAACTCGTCTCCATTCTCACCAATTCGATCAACGTTGATTCTCACGTAAAATCTAAAATTAATCAGTAAAAAAGTAAAGAAATGAATGGCAAAGAATTTGGAGCGAGGGGAATTGAACCGTCGACCTTCTGCTTACCGACCACTGAGCTATCGGCGCCTTTTCCCCCCCAAGAAGTAATAGGAAAAACAAGAAAGAAAGAGAAGGAAACACTCGGGCCTTCAGAATTGTAATGTTTTCCCCTTTCACTCACCCATCGCCATCAGTTCCAGCTCGAATCTTCTCCAATCGATCACCACCACCATCCACGAAAAGACCAACCAATTCGGATGTACCTGTAATTTTATATATTAATAAAATGTTGATGATATTTTTAGTGACAATACTGTAGCTTGATTCTTTGCTCAAGTCTTAAGCCCACCCTCAGTTAAATAAGCAGTCGCAATCTCGAGTGTTGCCGTTCTCACATCCATTCCGTCAACCTCCAAAATGAGATCTCCCGCCTAAAAACGTCGTTAAAAATCACAAAATACAATTATTACATAGATCGTATTATCCGGATTTTGTGGATTCACCACATTACAATCGGCCACGATTCCACAAAGATTCCCTCCGCAAATACGCACATTTCGTCGAGGAACCTGAAGCGAGTACTGCAGGCATTTAGGGATAGCAAATGTATACAAATTTATAGCAAATGATCGGGTAATTAGATATAGTGAGTAAGGTACGTATTTTACCAATAACAAATGAAAGAATGTGCTGAATCATAACGACACAATTAGTTTCCGAGTAAAGGTTCACAAACCACTGTTGATGAGCCATTAAGATATTTGAACTTCAAACTAATCTAATCCTTAGGCTTTAGTAATCGATGAATTCTTTAACTATTTGAAATCATTGAAGTATTTGAAACTTGCTGCTACAGCTTTAATATCAAACACACCTGCACCCATCGCGGAAATATGCCCACAGGGAACGCATCATCGGTCTCTTGCTCGAATCGATCTTTCGATGGCTGAAAGACGACCTCATCCATGTGTTTCTTTTGTCTCACTGGATGCCTTTCCAAGCTTATGTCACCTAAAATCTCTCTTGATTTTGAAAAAAAATCATCTAAACCGGGCTCAAATTCACTATCTCGACTCCTTGTCAACCGTCGAATCGCCTCCGACGCATACTCGGAGAGAACGGTCTCACTTGGCGCTAAAATTTTTCAGCTAATTCATTTTTTTAAAGCTGCTTACAGTTATTGATTTGATAATTGACAGATGAGGTTGACGGATGGGGAACTGAATTGGATGAAGAAAGAATTGAGGAGAGTGAGGCATCGAGACGGCGACCAGGATAGGGTGGAGGCTGGGGGAGAGCGCCGCTGAATTGAAACGATCACAAAATGATTGATCTTGACTTAAACATGATTCAAATCTAGCGTTACCTAAAATTAGCGCTGACTCGATGCCCATGAGTGGAGGCAGAAGGGCGCGGAGTGGAAGAGGCCAATCGAGGAGAATCGATTGATGAGGTTGAAGCCGGGAATGGAGATGGAGAAGTGCAGGAACAGGTTTGGCAACTGAAAAAAGATGAGTTGTCGTACATTTGTATCTTGTTCTACTATTTAAAAAAAGCTAAAAACAACTTCTGGGATGAGCAAAGCCAAGACACAGATTAGATTGACTTATAGATTGGCTGGTCGAGTTCGTTCCCTTCAAAAATTACGTTCCTGTTTGCATTTTCGTCTTATTCTCTTCCCCAAATTTCTTTTTTTGGTTTTTCGGAAGAAATTGTGGGTTTTGAGTTTTATCCTCGTTCTTTCGGGATTTGATGTTTCTCTTTTGTATTGTTTTGTAATGGGTATCCTTGGCTTTTCTTTCTGTACTAACAAACCGTAGAATTATAAATTCGATTTACTTTAAACTATCGTTAAGGTTCTAAATTCTGTTTAGATAGCTGGTATAACATTATATGTATTTGTGGTGCCATCGATGGCGAATCCGTTGTGTACTCGTATCACGAGCGACGACCTTATGCTGAAAGTAAGGCATAACATCCTACTCTGGCGGCGATCGCAGGCGTGTGGGTGTAGCTCATTGGTATAGCGCCCAGGGTAAGCGAGGGGTGCAGGGTTTGAATCCCGATGCCAACCATGTTTTATATTCCCAGGCTCAACCAATAAAAGAACTTGTGTTGTGAGCGTTTTGGGGAAACCTTTTAACCTTTTAACCTTTTGTGCTATTCGGCTATTCTAAAACAAAAGCATCTCTGATGGTAAGGTTAAAGCTGATACAAATACCTAGACCAGTTTTTAGTTTAAATTTTCAGAAACTTGACTTGCCTCTGTTTTGTGGTGGTGGCTGGGCTTGCGGGCGGTGGGAAAACCGGGAAAACGCTCGGTCTTGAGGGAAGCGGCTTACGAAAACCCGACGTTGGCTAAATAGATTTTAGTGTATCTTGTTTTATTAGATTTATTAGATGTTTTATTAGCTTCCGATCCCTTACATCTATCAATTTTGGCCATGTTGATCCGGTGGATGGGTGAACGGGCGACGAGGCGACCGAGTGCCGGAATTGATCCATTTTCCCGACCAACTCCTTTTGCAGACCCACACCGGATGGAGCTCTAAATTCCAAGCAAATTTGACAATTTTTATTTTAAACACAGATTGGAAACCTAATTGTTTCCCTATAAAATTCGATCCACTTCACTAATCACCTCAATGATCCAGTTCTAATCAATTGCTGTTGACGGGGTGACGGAGCTGGGACGCGCAGCGATCCGTGGCGCATGAAATCACCAGGCTAAAGCTAATTTATAGCTAAATAAACTTATGGAGCTAGATTTTATGTCAATGTTGTGATGAATTTAGCCTATTATCCTATTTTAAACAAGAGAATCAAGTCCACTCACCGTATCAGGATCGATATTCGCCGTGGCGATGATGTCTCGCGTTTTGGTCGGAGCTCTACCGCCAAATAACTTCTCGTGCACCTGGAAAAGGCAACTTTATCTAAGTCTTAAATTCGTACTGTATCTTTGAATACTAAATTTTAAACTCACCTTCGAAAAAACGGATTTTGAAGACTTTTCCGTCGAGGCAGTGGATCGAGATTGCTCTCGAGGTCGGCCCAACAAGACACCCAAACGAGCCACTCCGTTTGTGCCTGGAAAACGTGTAACTAAATATCTAACACTATAGATTTAAGCTTGATACATTTTGCAAGATTTCAAAATTTTTGAACCCACTCTTGAGTAGCTCCTCGGCTTGCCTTGCATCGCCCACCGGGACTCCGTTCACGAAAATCACTCGATCACCGACACTCAATCTAAAATTTACATACATTTTTAGAGCAGGATTTTGAATCCATTAATAGATGGTGGACTTTCTTAAATCCTAATATTCTCTTTGAATTTGCTCACTTAGCTCGATCCGTTGCCGATCCAGGCTCAACCCGATTCACGAAGACTCCATTGGCCAATTCCAAGCCGATATCTGAAAGTCTTTCGATTGTCGAGATATGGATGGATAGAGTTAGATTTGATTTTTAAATTGTAAGCTTACTAAATCACTTGATTTTTATTTTGCACTACTCTACTTGTTATCATATCTTAGGCAAACTGCTAACTCACCCGAATGTCCGGCAATGACGACCTCTTGTATTTGGTGCATGTTCGCCCGGCGTCTGATCACCATTTTTAGATGATGACTGAAAAATTTGACTGAATATATAGTAAGAATGACTATTCGCAGCCAATTACCAGTTAAATTATCCAACCTATTCCTCAAAATATCGTAAATAGATCGAATGTCCATGTCCGTCACATCGATCTCATTCACCAAGACAATGTGATCGAATCGTCTGAAATACGGCTTACAGCTGTAATTCAAAGCTTAAAACCTTATCGAGTGCTCAAGCGGAGAGCCGGGATGAACTTCTTTCACGTAGATCGGAGTCGAACCACCCGCCAATATGATTCCGAGATTCGTTTTTGGGAATGGCTAAAGGTAACTATCAATATTGCTGCTCACAAAGTTTAAGTCTTCTCTTTCTTCCTTGCTCTTCCTCTTTGTATTTCTTCTTTCTTCTCTGGCAAGAATTGGATAACTCAGTGGGTAGAGCATCTCTCCGGAAAGCAAAAAGGTCGAGAGGGTTCAATCCCCTCTCCAGAAATCTTTCTCTACCATTCCTTACTTTACTTTATTACATTACTTTACGTATAAAAGAAGCAGTTCAGTACCCATATTACTCACCATTGTAATATCTACAGCGTGACTTGTCCAAATGTCAGCCACCGATTCCCTCTCCGCTTCCGCCGTCAACAAGCGAGCGCATAAATCCTCTTTTTCCTGTAAAGTCGATATTTAGCTTCAAAGTCAAAATAGCAACTGTCTTTGGACTTTTTCTTATACATTCTTTTATTCTTGTTGTTGCTTTCCTGGTGTCAGAGCTAGCAAATTATCCACTAGTTTATTTGACAAACAAGTTGACTTATGCTTGTTGAAAAGTTTTCTACGTTTACAAAATTGTTTACATTTATCGGGATTTACAATCGAATTTACAATAGTTGTTAGTTTTCTATCTTCACTTACCACACAGAGCGCATCGATTCTTCTCTTGAGTCTTCCAATCTCTTCAATCGTTTCTCCTCTTCGCACGTTTGCTGCCGCCGATTCTTGCATGTTCACTAAATTAGCTTATCGATGAAAATAGAAAGTTGTTACAATAGATAATACCACAGTAATAGACAATGATTACAGTAGTAAAAGTTAAAACTTCGCTACAGATCTCAGAGTCTCAATGTCGGTGCCGTTTAAGTTTCTCAATCAATAGTTCTTGAGTCATTTAAAATTTGATTGTTATTTGTGAATCACTCACATTGCAACAAACGCCGAGTGTGATCGAGTTTCGTCTGCAACTGTTGTATTTGGGTGTCATTCTTGGACGATTGTTGTCCTTGCATCAGCCCATTTATATTTTTCAGATTTTGCTTTAACCGATCCCTCTCCTCAGCCAAACGGTTGTTCTCCTCGAGAACCTGAAATCATCAATGAAATCAGAAATTTTTTTTGTTATTTTCCACTTACATGACTCCTCTCGAGCATCGTCTCATCATAATCTCTCAACAGTGAATCATATTGTGTCTGCAATCGTTGCCGACTGTCCTCCAATTCGATTCGATAGGCAACCGCTCTGAAATCATATCAAGTGAGCATTTGATGTTTGAAATTAAACCGATAACCATAAAGAGACCGTAATTCGATTTCTCTCAAATAGTATATTTTCTAAAACTTGGAAGTTTTTTTAAAACTACCGTAATCTTCTCCAAGCTATCTACTTTTAGTTTGGTTCTATGAGGGATACCGATAAATACCGAAAGTAGAAGCATGGATAAAAATTAGAATTAGGATTACGGTAGCTCTAACAAGGGAAAGGCACGTCAAGCTGGCCTTTTGACTTGAGACCAAGTCCATCTTATAAAGCCAGCCATGGGGATCTCAAATCTGTTTTTAATTTTGGCAGAACGCTTCGCTTATTTGGCATAGAAAATCACCTTGAATTTCGAGCTTCTTATGAGGCCGCCACACGATTCCTAAACTGGTGCTTCGATGGTCTAGTTGCTAGACTGCTAGACTGCTAGACTACCGAACCTGTGGCGTTTCTTGCTCTCAAGTTCGAGTCTCACTATTGCCGAACTTTTTTGCTTCTCTAAAAACTGTTTCCTTACAAAAGACCAGCTTGACTCGATGTCTTTCTCGATCTTAAGATCTAAGATGAGATCTAACTACTGTAATAGAGCAAGCTACTTTAATAGATCAAACTTTGTCCGGGACTGTTCCTGAAGGCCAAACGTAATTAAATAAAATAAAAACTATTAAGCCAATAAGACAGGATTACGGTAGGTTTCAAAAAGTTGCCACGTTTTAGAACACACCCTAATCTCTTTCACCTATTCGTATCAGCTCTCGATCCATCGAGTTGTTCCTCAAGCACAAGGGCTTTCTGTTTCAGAAGATCTCTCTCTTCCATCGCTACTGAAATCCAGTTTCCGAATTTTTATCGAAAATTTCAAACTACTCACTCTTCAGCTTTCCAATCCAAATGTCTTCGGCTTGGGAAATCTCACGGGTGAGCTCATCCTAAAAGTCAATACTTTCTCGACTATAAACTGAATCTGAATCCAAAAACAAATGCTTGAATGTTAAAGGATTCACTTAGAAATTTGCATTCAAAACTCGTTAGCCGACTAATTCTAACAACGTCTACCAGCCTGTGCTTCCATTTGAATCCTCCTTTTTTCTTCCCTCTCAATCCGCAACTGTTCTTCTAGCCTTGTACACTAAATTTCGATTCATAAAAGACCCAGTTTTCGGCCGTGTTTCACCTCATTTTCCAGTGTATCAATATGGTGTTGATTGATTCGATTGTTGTGCATGAACTCATGATGATTCAGTTGATCGGATGGATGAAATGAGGGAAGAAAATGATTGTTGCGAAGGTCATCATTTGGAAGAAGTGGGATTGACGGGGATGATGCGGGAATCGCCAACCCGCCACACATCTTTTCCTGATAAACCTCGGGTGGGGTTGGCGGTCGATCCTCATCGTTCTCCACCATCAGCTTCCTTGAAAAGATTTGATATTAGAATTGTATTAGAATTTCAAATTTAAATATGAAAATTGTATCTTGAAAAATAGATTGTAAGAAAGTGCAAAAAGGCTTAACCCAGCGAGAAAAGAGCAAATGAAATTTGGGGAGATTGTGTCGCAAAAATGGAGCTCGTTTGCCGTTTTCTGGGTTGAAGATGAAAGAAATTCACAATGGAAAAAAATAACTCAACGTTAAACCAAGAAACAGTTTATCAATCAATTAGTCAACTAAAAGAAATTTGAGTAGATATGCTGAAAAATCAACGATTTATTGCCAAACAAGTTTTGATAAATGTGGGGTTAAAAGAGGAAAGATGGGGAAAATGGACAACGGTCTGAAAAAAGAGTTGATGGGGTGAAAAAAGGCTCGATACACATGTTCTTAAAAGAGAAGAGTCAAGAATTGGGGGAGGGGATGAGTGCGAGACTTTTGGGGAAATGGGGGAGGGGTAGTCCTGCACAGCACTGCAGGATGACCTTGTTGTTGGAAAGGGGAACACTCTATCCCCTTCCACCCACTCCCATCCACCCCCATTTCCCCCCGATTTTCCAACACGACCATTTCTATTTGGTGTTGAAAATGTTTTCTTTTTAGAAAACTTTTAAGAGTATTTTTTCTGACAATGGAATAAACGAGTCACCGAACACAGCCGGGCTGTTCTCAATACAATCTCGCCTTTTACTGGGTGTACTTTGAGAGCTTTTAAAGAACAGCCATAAAACACAATCGCTAAGGTTCTGGCACACCCTACTTTTAATATAAAAACGTGATGTTGTTAACAAAAAACCTATAAAAAGAAAGATGCAAGAAAGGAAGCAAAAAAAATAGTATTCAGTACAACAACGCTTGTGTATTGATTGTAAACGGAAATTCTTTTGAATTAGATTCTTTCCAATGTTAAGAATGAATGCTAATTCTCTAGTAAATATTTCAACAATTTCACAATTCATTTGAGATACGTGATTACTTTTAATATTAGACCTTGAAACTATAAAAACACAGCTCAGAAAGAAAAGAGAAAGGAAACTTTGCACTGCAGAGTACAACTTTTCGGCACAATGATGATTGTAAAGATTGTAAAAATTTAGCTGTAAGCCTTTGAAAGTCAAATGGACCGATTGCTGAATACATTTGCTTTAAAAGATATTTCAAGCAGTAAAAGACAAAAATTTTCTGCAAACTGTTTAACAAAAAGAAACTCTGTGTCTGTTAAGAAAACAACATGACAGGAAGGGCAATAGGAAAAACTGTCAGAAAAGACGAAGAAAAGAACGAACAGAGAAAAGCGATTTGTGGAATGATAAGAGGTGAAAAGCTGGTTGCAAGGAAAAAACACTTCATTCAAACAAAAAAAAAGATTTCACTATTATAAGAGAAATCGTTACAAAACAGTTATCCAAAGCAGTTCAAATTTTGTTTTCTATCTTATAAATCAAGTAGTCAAGTATCAGGATAATAATTTCTTATACAATATAAATTTTAAGACTATTTTAAGAATATATCCTTAAACTGTAATATGAATGAGAACTGGCGATCAATTCGTATCGGAGAAAGAAAAAGAGACTTTCGCATCAGAAAAGATTGGAACGGTGAATGGGGAAAAGAGAGCTGCGAAAGGAGGACGGAGATGGAATGGAGGGAGATGGGAGGAGTGGGGGATTGTTTGTGTTTGTTGCTTGGTATGTTCCCCTTCTCGTGTCCATTCCAGTCACACCCCTACAGCCAATTCTTTCCAAAGAATGCGTTCAATTTAATTTAATTTGATGCTAATTTAATTAAATTTAATTTAATGCTAATTCTCAAACGCAATAGTTCAAAGATCATTTGATTCTTAAAACAAAGACATGACATGTTAAAACTTATGATTCTGCCTTGAATTTATTAATCATTTAGAATTTAAAATCAGTAGATTAACAAAAGTATTATAGTATGGTAATAAGTTGAGCAGTAAAGATGGATTGAAGTAGCTGTTTCCCCAGGTTTAGGATACATAACTAGTTCTCACAATGTTCTCATAAAAAAACCAATAGAAAGCTGGTTCTGAAATTTGTTTATGAATCTGTGCTATGGATAATTGTTTGAGCCTTTGCAATCAATATGTACGGGTTTTGTTCAGAGAATAAATGTATTCGAAAAACGTAAAAAAAGGTTTCTTTAACACATTCGCGACGATACGACCCACCGGTGGATTTAGCACTTTTTCGAAGCCAATTAGGCTGAAAACTTGCACCACGGGGTTTTCGGGGTCAACGAATTCGAATTCGTACTTGGTTTTCAAAAAAACTGCTCTACTTTTGGATATTTTATCCGGTTTAATTACAGACAGAACCCAAACTTAGTTTTGCTCTTTTTTCTGGTCTAATTACCCAAGTTTTTAGAGAGTTTTGTGATGGCCTTGGAAATTAAAGTTGATCAAAAACTAATAACAGATTCAGATTCTCGATCCCAGAATGCCCTCAGAATGCTTCCGTTTACAAATTTTCAGATCTACAGCTAACATAGATAGCTGTCGTCCGAAACGGCAGTCAAGACAGTGTGTTAATATATAAAAATGAAAATGAACATTGTTTAAAAGCTTTTCATGCCTTTTCTATAATATTACAAATAAAGTTTCAAAAAAAGCTTAGAATACTCGATTGTTGGTCTGGAAAATTGAAAACTTGGAAAATATCTTTTGTTCAGAGTGGCGATTTGCGATATTTACTCGATCATCGAAGAACCTATCGAGTGGATATTTGCTCTTCGAGATGCCATTTGAAAGTGGGTTTTCTTCTTTTTGGATCTCAAAACTTTTATCATTTTAATGAAAAGAGTTCATTGGGCGAATTGTTGTGAGAAATATAAGTTTATTAGTTTAGTACTATTATTTTTCTCAAAAAATTAACACACCTCAGAATTCTGAGTGTTCCGAGGTATTAACCTTAGGTATTAACACATGCAATTTCTTCTATAAAAAGTTCTTGGAAAAAAATCCAGACTATCTGCAACAGACAACAGATTCTCATGGTTCAATATTTGTCTATTCTGACATGTATGTAGCTCTGCTGAACGTTATTAACTTTTAAAACATCTAAATCACTGATGTGAGATATTTTATGTATACGGTACTCTATCAACTTGTAACCTAAACGTTTCAAGAGTTCTCAAATTTGAGCTCATTCAACAACCGGGGCTTACCCCTGAAAAATGAATGATCTCAGCTTAACCCATTTCATTTCGAGGCTGAATGGGGATCCCTCTTTCTCTTCCCCATTCCTACATTTGTCCCCTTTTTTGGGCCCACTAGGGGAAAGGCTCAGCGTCGCGGTCTCGCGTCACGTTTTCCCCTCGTAGGCCAATTGAGGGAACGTTTCTAAAACGTAGGCTTAGTCTCGTTTATAAATTGAAATCCTTTATCTAAATTCTAAATCTAATTAAATTCAAATTCAAATTCTTTTGGAAAAATGGAAGAGGATCGTATGGGGATGAGAATCAACTCTGAAGTCGTCGAGATAACGAAAGACCCGAAAGGACTCGTCGGGGTGTCGATCGGTTTGTTCTATATTTTTTTTCTCCAATTCTATATTTTTATCAATTTTATAACTTTATATAAACAGTAATTTGCAATAAAACTTGCCTACTTATCTAGCATTTCGATATTGAAAAGAAAAAAAAGCATTGACATTGAAAGCAGGTTTTTCAAGAAAAGGTTTAGTGTGGTTTAAAAGTATCAATCAATGAATAAATTGATAAATATCAATATAATACAAACTTAGTGATAAACTATAAAGCTTTCCAGGTGGTGGTCATCCGTATTGTCCCTGTGTCTATGTCGTTCAACTCTTCGACGGCTCACCGGCGGCCGACGATGGGAGAATACGAGCCGGCGATGAGGTAAGGAGACGATTTTCTTTAATCTTTGAGATAAGTTACATTTAAATCCAAGCTATTTGGTTCTTTATCTAAATTTCTTGTATTGAGAAAGACTTTTCCAGGTGGTTGCGGTGAATGGAACGAACGTGAAAGGAGACAAGAAAACACATGTCGCTCAGCTCATTCAAACAAGCGCGAATCCTGTAAAAGTGAGAAAGTCGAAAATATAATCAGATAAACTTATTGATATCTCATGAAATACGGTACTTTTATCGCATAATTATGAAATGTCACACTTATGTGACTTCAGATTACTGTAGACAGTTTAAAATGTATCCAGAGTGTGGTTACCTTTTAAACTCTGGGTTTGTTATCTTATTTTAGACTATGGATTTGGCATGCGAAACTAAAAATGTAACTTCTGTTAACTCTTTTAGTTTATAGGTACTAAAATTCTTGAGAATGGTTTGAAACTCTTAACTGATCTCGGATTTCAGCTCACGATCAACAAACTCGACATCGACACTACAAAGGGGAAAACGGTGGATATCGTGATGAAAAAGATCAAGCATAAGGTTTAGGCTTAGATAGAGAATCAAAATTCTACATGGTAATTTTTTAAAATGCAAATAGTTACAGATGGTTTCCTTCATGGAAAATGATACGGCCGACGCGCTCGGGCTCTCAAGAGCCATTCTGTGCAATGATCCGTTGCTAAAGAAAATGCAGGTGAGGAAATGAGGGGCTTTTTAAAATTTTATAGGTCTAGACCATTTCAAGCTATTCTTTTATTCAAACTTATAGTATTCCAATTCAGCTGCTCGAGGAGAACGCCGAATTCTACCGTACTCTCATCGCCTATTTCACTGAGCTTTGCGATGCACAAGAGGGAATTAATAAATTTCAGAAAAGTTAGAGATAAAAAATACACTAGATAAAGAAGATTCAGTGTTTGGTGACGCATTTTGCGAACTGGCCGCTCATGAAAGTCAAGCGAACGCATCATTGGCTTTCACCGTATTCGGAGAGGTGACGAACAGCTATTGTTTCACCAAAGCCAAATCACTTGATAAATTTAAAAAATAATAAACTATTAATGTGAAATTTTGTAGATTTTTCTACTTTACCTTCTCATTTCCAGGCTCACCGAAGCCTGGGGAAACGCCAGGGTGAAATGGTGAAATCGGTTCGACCGCTTATCAACGATTTGGTCACCTATGTTGAGAAAGCGATTCCCGACACGGAGCTAACCCTTAAAAAGTTGATTTTAAACTGTATATACCTTAAGCTTTTAAATTTTCAGATATTTGGATGTCAAATACGAGTACTTGTCCTATTGCTTAAAGTTGAAAGAGATGGACGACGAAGAGGTCGAATTTCACTCACTACAAGAGAGTTTATATAGAGTTGAGACCGGGAATTATGAGTACAGGTAAAGAAATCCAATATAAGTAAATGAAAAGATATTCAGGCTAATGCTTCGATGTCGCCAAGAGACACGAGAGCGATTTGTGCGAATGAGAAACGATGTGATGGTGAAGATTGAGCTGCTCGATCAAAAACACGGTAGGTTGATGATTCTTAGCATCATCTACTAGCAAGCTATGCGAATTTTTGCAGAATTATGTAAATCTTATCTGAAAGCGAAGCTTTATGGGCTTTATGAATATCTTTTTGCAGTTCGAGACATCGCCCAGCAGCTCACAAATCTCGTGAGCGTGCTGCGCGATTGTCAAACGGATTGTGCCAGCGCGCTCCTCCAAGCGGCAGCCCCGGCTCCTGTCGAGATTGACATCATTCAGGTGGATCAAACACTAGCATTCTCGACTCACTAGGGAAGGTCGCCAGCTTAAGATGGAATTTCAAAACGAGGCCTTTCCTATCTTGTTCAGTTTTCCGAAGGCTTTCCGAATCCGCTTTTAGTTTTTCTTAAATGGCTTGCAAACGCGAGGAATTTGGCTTTAAAGTTTTAGAAATTCCTTTGTAAGATTTCCTCGCGTGCCTTAAAAATATGTTCTTGTGACCGAGAGGTAGTTCTCTCGGTTACAAAAACCTTTAAAACCAAGTTCCTTGCGTTTGAAAGCCATTTAGGAAATGGCTAAAAGCGGATAGGGAAAGCCCGTGAAAAACTGAACAAGGTAGGATAGGTCTCGTTTTGAAATTCCATCAAGTTGGTAACCTACCCTAGTCAGTACTCTGTACGCGCAATTTACTAAACGCTCACTGTCTGACATACTGCATTCTTTCTTATTCAGAGCTACAAACTAGCTACTTATTAAATTCAAAGCTTCTTATTCAAGGCTGTATAGTACACTCACTGTTTTGTGAGCTGATTTCGCGTTTGATTGAAAAAAACTAATCCTAAATCAAAAGTTTCCTTCGTTGCCAAATCTAACTCATACTTGAGTTTCAGAGAAGTCAAAAGTTTGACCACCGGGCAAGCACGAGTAGTGCCAATGAGAACGAGGGAGCGGATGAGAATGGGGCAGCAGAAGTCTCAGAACCACAGGTACAGCAACTGTATTTGATCAATATAATTGCTTACCAATAATGTTTTAATAGCATAATAAATATTGAACTTCAAGTCATTTACAGTAATCCCATTAACTTTGCAGGTTGATCTTCTCGACGTGAATGAGCCGGAGATTGATCTCATCTCCAGTGATTCACCAACGAATGGGATTAATCTCGTCGAAACTAACCTCATCTCATTAAATGAGGTTTAAAGTATTTATTCTAGAAATATCATCTATAATCTGTTCAGGAAAATGCCCAGCAATCGTCCGGCAACGCGCTGGAAAACCTGCTACAACTGTGATATTTGTGTGTCTCAATAAAATCGTTTTCAAAAGAAATTTCTTTCCACTGCACATTGCTCTTAAACTGATTCTGCAATATTCTGATCAAAAAGCAAAAAAAAAAACGATTCTGCAACAGGATCACTTTTTAACCGCACATCGAATTAGCATTGATTGATCGTGGAGGAAGATTTGTGTGAAAAGAAGGGCTGTCAGGAATTTTTTTGCTTTTCTTTTCAGGGCGATCATTTCACACTAGCTGACTGGCCACTACTATTAGTTTTCTGAAAGGCTGAGTCTCCGGATTTCACGTGCTATTTTCTATCGATACGTGGGGGGAGAGGGGGGTGGGGCAGGGCAAGAGAACAGGAGAAGAGGGGGAGCTCCCCCCTCATTCCTCCATTTCTCCCCCACTTTTTCCCTTTCCCTTGCTTTGATCCCCCATGAGTTCATCCTTCTTCTCATTTCTTGTCTTTAGCCTAACTCTTTGCTTTTTGCTCAAATTTCCTTTGCTTTTTCTACTTTTCTAAAGCATTTCTTTTCAAACAAAATTTTCAGAGTTAAAAGTTCAAAGATTCATTTATATTTTTTTCCTTATATTGTTGGTTTTCTATACCTGAATTCTATTTTTTCTTTTGTTCAATATAGAATAAAAAATTCTCTTTTCCATTTTCCTTTTAAATTATCATTTTCCAGGTTTTTGCCAGCAATGGCTGCGTCCGAAGAAGAGAAAGGAGCTCTAGTTGAGAGTGGACAAGCGAAATTTGATAAGGTTTGAAGAAAATAAAATATTCGGAAATAACAATTATGCCTAAGATCGAGAACTATTTTTATACAGTACAATCAACTAATTTCAGGATCGAGACACGGTCGCTGTTGGCGGTGGAGCGAAGATTGTTGGGCTCACGAAAGAGCAGCTCGAACAGTACAAAAATGATCCTTTCTGGAAACCATTCAGGTCCAGAAATTTAATAGTCTCAATGAAATTCAAATTTTAGATACATTCTCTTCGCTCTCTTTTGGTTGGCCTGGTTGGCGATGTTCGCGGGAGCAATTCTGATCGTCTTGTTGTCACCGAAGTGCGCGGCAAAGCAAGAGCCCGATTGGTGGCAAACGAAAGTCTCGTATCAGGTAAGAATTTTGAAATTAAGTCTTAGAAGAAGTACCAATGTAACTTCGGAATAAATGATTTAAGATTAATAGAATCCGTAAACTTTAAGCTTTAACATCAATTCCTCTTTTTTCCAAGCATTCTGCCCCAAGACCTTCACAAAGTCTAGAGCTAAAGTTCAGGTTTTAAACTCTATAGATTCCTTGGTTAGTGATAATTAAAACTTTAAACCCAATCTTGCACGAAATCCACTTTTAGTAGTTCTATCTATAAGACTGATAGCCCAAAGCTAAGCCATACGGTTAAATTCTTTGGGTAAAATATACAAGCCTGGAACAGGTGCGAAAAGGTTGTTCTATCCTTTATTAGCTCAATCATCTTTTCCCCCTAAATGCGTAGAGACAACCGGGAGAGTGAATGCTTAAATGGAAGAATGGAAAGGAGAAGAGAACATTTCTGGGTCATCCCTCCTTCTCTTTCTTGACTCCTTACCCTCCCCTTGATATCTTATCGCACGATCTGAACACATCGCCTTTCTTCTCATCCATTTGCAGAAATATTCACATCAAAAACAATAGAGGTGTCAAGAAAAATGGGCGCAGATTGGTTGTCACCAAGGTGATTCACTAATATATCTCTGAATCGTAAAAAATAAAGCAAAACAATATCCAACTATAGGTAGAGAATTCGATGAGTTTTATAATTAACATGTTAAACTTTTTCTTACGTCAATAAAAACGACAGAGTCGGATCGATTCGGAACATCGCTAACCTAACTTCAAGTTGACTTAGCTGAATTTCTTCAAATTTTTCCACAACGTAAAGATAACTAATATCAGTATATGGATATCTTTAAATTAATAATTAACTGAATATTTTCAAATTTTTCTAGAACTCAACTATCTTCTAGGTTCATTTTGGCCGCAACCCCCATTCAAAATTCACTTATTTAAGAACTGAGTCACTGAGTATATGAATATACGGATAAAAGATATAATAGATAAATACTTTTAAGTTAAAAGGTAGCTGAATATCTTTATCTTTAAGTTTCTACTGGGCTTAAGACTCATCGAAGAAATTCCTCCTTGAAAGCTTGCCCCTTCAATCATCCATCCATGTCATTGAGGGGTCCATTCGTGTGGAAATGAATTACACAAAGTCTATAATTATGAGCTTCTTGGACCCAATAGTGGGATTTCCCCCTCATTCACCTTGAAAGCACATGTCGGGACCTTAAGCCAAACTGCCAACACACACACTCGGATCAATGACAAATGAGTGACACAAACGTGTTGCACCCCGTCCTCTCATTGATCTTAATGATTACACAAAGCTTTTCTTGATTTCAAATTAATAAAAACAATTATTGAAAGCTCAAATCTAAAGTGAGATTTGTGAGTTTATTTCATTAAAATTAGATGATATCTTTCAGAGATTGATTAGCATTTGAAATTCTCAGCTGGCTTCTTGAACTGTTAACATCCATCCACCTCTTTATACTCGACCTCTTTTCGACTTTCACAGAAAAGTAACATGACCTTTGATCGTGATCGTGCGCCTTTAAATTCCCACTTTTTGCGTGACTTCTAACATCTACCGAATACTTGGGATCCCTTTAGCTTTCACAGAAGTGAAGTGATGCAATTTTCTGAAAAGCAATCAGTACCACCGACTGTCCCTTATTTTTTGCGCAGACTCTCTCATTGAGCTTATCCCAATGAGAGATTGCCACAGTTCCGGCCAATTCCCCTCCCCCTCCTTTGATATTGTTTGATCAGCGATCGAGATTGGAGAAGAAGAGAATTGGGGTCTCTGTTTGTCTCAATGCTTATAACGCGTCCCGTGTTTGGCCCGAAAGGGTGCCCCTTTATCGCTCATCCCAAAGGGGAAGGGGGAAGGGTAAAGTGTGGTGCGGGTAAACACGTACAAATGGATGGGGAAGAAGATAGGATTCCCTGCCTAGAGATACAGAAATCCGATGCCCAGTTCTTGTTTTAATGAATGAAAACAACATCTGTCTTTAAACAAATCTCTTGCATAACTTCCAGCTTATGTAGAATGAAACAAAACAAAAAATGGAACAAACTCGTGTATTCCAAAACAAAGTCGGTTCCTCTCGGAAATCCGGATACAAATTCATAGCTGAATATCTTCTTTTTTGTACCACGTAAAAAGCAAAAAAATATCACTGTGTAAAGTGAGGTGTTCTTTGTGCGTTTTGCATATGATAGCTTTTCATAACGAAAAGATCCGTATTTTTAAAAAAAAACCCAGCTTTCTGAGAAGAACCACAAACTCTACGAAATCTTTCAGCTCCTCACGCCGACTTTCTACGATACGAACGGTGACGCGGTCGGTGATTTCCCGGGAATTCGCGAGAAGTTAGACTTTTTGCGCAAAATCGGCATCACCACCATTTATCCAACACCAGTGGTCACAACGGATAAAGTTCGAATTTGGATAAAGAAAATTTGAACGATTCTTTTAGAATGAAATCTACAACGAGTACGATGTTACCGATCATCAGACTGTTGACGTGAGATTCGGTACGGAGGAAGACTTCAAGAAGCTCATCGATCTTGCTCATGATCGGGGTAAGTGGAGATGATGCGGATTCTTTTTCAGAAAAACCAAAAACTTATGGACTTAAAATTTGTTTAGCCTCCCAGGTTCAAAACCAAAAATTTCAGATATGTATCTTGTGATGGATTTGCCGATCTCATGCGTCTCTCCAAACCATCCATGGTTCAAGGTAACTACAGTGCTTTTGCTAAGTTTAAAGTAGCTACAGTCCTCTTGAAAAGGCTCAATAGCATTTTTTCCTAAAGATAAATTACGGTAACCTTTCTGGAGAGCTGAAAATTTCATCATTTTTCTCTAGGATCCCTTGAAAGCCGACTACTTTGTCTTCTCCACCGAAGCCAAACCATCACCGAAATTCATCGATTCCCCCAAATCATCCAGGAAAGAAGTAAGACCATGAAAATTTTAAGGGGAAACGTAAATTTCAGATATCTGAGCTGTCAGCTCGGCTCAACTCCATCCAAGAACCCGGTGCTGAACTGGAAGAATACAGAGGTAGAAAAAGAACAAGATCCAAAGCTCAAAACAAAGAATAGATCCAAGAATACTTCAACGCCACCCTCGAAAAGTATTTGCTACTCGGCGTTGACGGTTTCCACATCGATCACATCTCTCTGCTTGCCACGAAACCCGACGGATCTTCTGATGTTTGAAATTTTTCGATAAATTTTTGAAAACTCAAATTTCCAGCACGATGCCTCGATTGCTATTCTGAAAAAGCTGACGACAGATCTATTCGATTTCGTTAAACACTCGTCGGATGTGAGCAACAAGAAGATGTAAGAGCTATAGTTTAATATATCATCTAAGAAAGATGATTTCAGTGTTCTATTCTCTTCTCTGAAAGACGTCGACGAGTTGGAAGTGAAAGCGAGACAAACAGGCGGTCTTCATTATGTGATTGACTCGAGCTTTTCCAATCTCGATTCCGCTACCTGTTCGTCGGGTGTCGCCAGCTGTGTCCACGATGCTCTCACCACTTCATATAAAAAGTTTGTGCTGAAGTGAAAAGTTAGCCTTGACTATAGTATGTCTCCCCGTCAACTAATCCGTTCCCTAAAGTCTGCTCACTTTCGAAAACTACCGTGATCGCACTCACAATCCGCGCAAACCACATATAACTTTTAAGCAACAGTGAAAATATAGCACTTTAGAGTCAACGATCGGTCCAAGAGTCCGAGAAAAGCCGAATTTCAGACACGATTCCGACAATTTCACTCCGTTCTGGCAATTCTCAAACGCGAACTCGCGCCGACTTGCCTCTCGTTTCGATGCGGATACCGCGAATTTGCTCACATTCACGCAACTCACCCTCCCCGGAGCGATTTCCGTTTACTATGGACAGGTTGGACAAGAAAGAAAAACAAATTCAATTCAATTTTCAGGAAATCGGTCTCGAGAACGTGGAAGGACGCAAAGACGGTCAGCGTGGGCTGATGCAATGGAAAGAGAAAGGCAACGATCATCACGGTTTCATCAAGGAAAAGGAGTTCAAGGATAGCGATATCTACTACCCGGAACAAGCCAAAGACAAGGGCGGAGATAATTTCGAGGCAAAACACTAAATAACATCCAATAAACCAGAAACTTCAGGCTCAATATAAAGAAACTGATTCGGCTCTCAAAGTGTTCAAGAAATTGGCTCAACTCCGTCAACGAGACCCGGCACTGATTCTGGGAACTACGGTAAGTAGTAGACCTGGGAATTTTCGGTGTGAACGCCAAAATATCGAAGTGAAATTGGCCGAGATATGGCATTTTTCCGTTGAACACCTATTGACATTCACACCGAAAATTCTCAGGTCTAGCCAAACAAATGAGTTCAATCTAATCGCCTTAATAGGTTCGAGATACTTTAATGGATGACGTGATCACCTTTGGAAGATTTGTTCCCGGTGTCAATGGGACTGCCGAGGGTTCGGCCTACATTGTTGTGCTGAACTTTGGCGAAAAGGAAACCGAAGTTGATTGCACGAAGTTGGCCGACAAGGGAATTCTCCCCACCAACAAAGCACTTACTACTGTCGAGGTAAATCATCAAAATTGATGTTCAAATTCACCATTCAAAAACAATGCAGGTGTCTGCTTTCACCACGGGTGTCAAACACTATGAGGCTCGACAAAAGCTTGACGTCTCTTCCACCAAGATCAAACTGCCTGCAAAACAAGGAATCCTTCTGAAACTCTAAAACATAAAATTTCTTTAAGTACCGTTAAATAAACATTGTTTATTCTGTATTTACTGACATCGAACATTTATTTACGACGCCAAATTGATTCATACGGGCAGATTTAAGTCGAGAGTCCGCCGAGTTCATTTTAAAGTCGTGAAGAACATCTACATGGAGCTGATGCCCATTTTGTCAAGCTAAAACCATTATTAGAAATAGCTCTTGTTAGCTCGAAAAAATACCTCTTCACCACGGAGCTTAGTAGTCAGTTCAAGGAGCAAAGATTCATCCGGCTTAAAGGCAGTGTAGTGCACATCAATCCATCCCTCTTCGTTTGGCTGAGAGATAACAAGCTAAACAAATGGTTTTAAACATTCGAAATTAAAAAAAACCGTTGCAGAAACAATAATTTGCTGCCCATCTTTATCTTTTCCGATGCCGTATTCGAGATTGATTTTCTTATCCTTGACGGCGATCGGAAATGCAAAATTCTGAAAAAAAACAATTAAGAGTGAGATCACTAAACAAAAATACCTCACGCCCTTGCTGGAACATCGTAATTTTACCAGAATTTGGCGTCCGTTCGGTAAAAGAAGTCACATATCTCACTGCGATCGACGGCTAAAAGAATTATTTAGTATCCTAAAATGAACCTTTACCTGGGCTTGTTGGTGCTTGTTGATCGGTTGAGTCAAAGTAGGAGCACCAGCATCCTTTTGCTCAGAGTTGTAGCGGGGCATCGTCTTTCGGGTGTCGAGATGAACCTTTGCGCCAGTTTTGACCGATGATTGTTCTGGCTCTACATCAGCTTCGGCAAACATATTATCTTGACGAGATGCCTTTGAAGATTTGCCTTTTTGCATAGAAACATCGGTTTGTTCAATTTTGGTCGAGCGGCAAGTTTCGCTAAAGAAAATTAATATTTTTGTGATTAACAGAGACGAACCTGACATCCGTATGCTTTTTGTGAGAGCCGCAACACTTCGGAGCCTTGATGGGTTGAAAATTCTTATCCTACACGACAAGTTAACAAAAACAAAATGATACAATGTACCTGCTTGCGTATTTCACCCTTTACCGGAGCATCTACAACAATCTAAATGTATGTTGCATAACAAGTAAGCGTGTAACGCCCACTTGATTGATCGGAGTTTGTTCAGAAGGCAGTTTGGAGACAGAAGCTTGATTGGCACAAAGGCTTCTCATTTCACGGTTGTTCGAGTAGGCATCTTGATCCAACGAGCTCTTTGGAATTTGACGATTCCGCTGGCAAAAACATGGACCGGAAAATTGTCGATGAGTTTGCTGTGCAGATTGTTCAGTCAGGCTTCTCTTCGAGCTAAACGTTGAATTCGTGCTTTGCGCCATCGATTTCATCCGACTGTTGGTAGCTCTAAATCAAAACGCTTAGTAACATGAACAACTAATTTCAATTTTACAATAGTTAAATTCTTACCCATTTGCGCCGGTCGGATTCTTCGGGAGAAAACGCTTCTCATTAATGAGTTCGTAGATTTGATCGGCTGTGTAGAAGAGATAGTTCACCGTGTCGTCAACCCTAAACAAAAAGATTTGTTACTAAAGAGTAAAAGATTTTTCAATTAAAAAACTAACATGCTAATGGAGCTTTGAAAAATGCTCTAGAACTACAAACATTCAACTTAATAATTTTCCATAGGAGAACTAGGAACGACTAACTAAAAAACACAAGTGTGGTTATGAAGTAATGAAACAAACAAGAAGTAATAACTTAAAGAACAAAAAAAACTCACTTGGCGATGGCTTGTTGCGCGCGGTTGTCCATGAAGCAACTGAGAAAATCGGAGAACAAATAAAAATGATTTTTGGAGGCATCGTGAAATTTTAAAGACAAAGTTTAAGTTCAAATTTAGGCCATAAATGCAAATTGAAAATGTAAATCTATTTAAGAATGTTCTGACGTTTTCAGAGCCATTTTGGACATTCCACTTCCACGTAAAAACCATTTTGCCTTGTTACTTCTGTAAAGTTGTTTTTGCGATACTTTGGGATTTGATAGAGTGAAACAATTTTTATGCAAACATTTAAAACAAAGAGTCTAATGAAACTAAAACAACAACAATAACAAGCGATAACTCAGAAAATGTATAACCAACGAAATGTGCACAAATAACGTAGAAATTGAAGAAAGCACTACTCTTTTCATTAACAACTTTGGGCAACGACGACCTTTTCTCGCCGTCGTTCTCTTTTCGGGCGGATCGACTCATGATTGTTAGTCCATGGACCCTAAAAATTCAAATTATTTTTATAAAACTTTTTATGAAACTTACGAGAGAATCATTCGCATAGAAATCCATTGGGTAAAAGTCTTTCGGCCCTTCAACGGATTCGAGAGCAACGTTCAATTCGTACGGTGAAAGAAGCGGACGCGGGAACGAGCTACCCCAATCAATCGATAATCTTGGGCATGCAACTTGTACCCAACTAAAGGCATGGATTACTTTGAAATTTAAAATAAAACTACCAATCAACGTCCGATAGAAGCGCCAGTTTTGAAGGGAAAATTTCCGACAAAAAGTACCCGCACATATCCTTTTCCCTTCTCCAGTAGCTTTTTCTCAAGTTCCTCAAAGAATAAAAAAATACATTCATATACACAAAGACTCACCTCAACAATTTTAATATTTCCCTGCCGTCCCAGAGTTCCTTGTATCAACCCGAATTTCTTGCTGTTTTTCGCTATGTCAATCGCACGTAATCGCGTTTGTTTCATTAAATCAAAGTCGAATTGTTCCCTAAAAAGCAGCTATTTATTTGTCCGCATGTTTTCAAAAATTAAAATTTACATAACCTACCTCGTTAGTTTTCGCGAATACGGATCATATTGAAAAGCCGGCACTTGAGGATTGTGCATCATTGCCGACTCCAAATGAAAACGTCCATCTCCGAGATAACTAAAAATTATGAAAATCTAGAAAAACCGTACAAGTTTTACATTAAAGCATCAACATCTTTTGAAAGTCTTGGTGATGTGCATCCCAAAATCTCCCCAGGGCTCAACGGCTTACATTGCGGCATCTCAACTTGGAAACCATCTTTTTTCGAGAAGATTCTTGACAAGCTAAATTTAAAAAATTATTTCGTAATACATAGAGACTCCCACTTGCAATGAAGGAACAAATTGAATAGTGCTTACAAACGCAAGCCTTTTATCGGGTTGAAAATTTGTCTAAAACAACTTTAAAAATCTAGATAAGAAAAGCAATTTTCAGAAACTCACCTTTATCGAGTCCAAAAAGTGGGTAATATTTATATCAATGTTCACAAAAATGTAAAGCATGCTGATACCCTCCGTATTCTGAATTGGCACAAGACAACTATGGCCATAGTGAACAAGCAGATCACATCCTGAAGCGCAAATTATAAATATGTATTTTTCTAAAAGAAACCGAGTGCTTTAGCAGTATAGTCATCAACACAGCAAGCTCCGTATGTGACATCGCCCATTATCACCGTTTCGCAACTCGTATACTTTTCCAATATGTCGGCTATCACACTCGCATACATTAAAAGACCTTCAGGGAATTGTAGGGCAACTAAACTTGAATAAGTTAGAAATGCGAAAAAAAAACAAGAAACCATATTTGGCGGAAGTTGAGCGAATTTTCCAAATCGTCTTTGGTATTTCGAAGGTATAATTCGATGGCAACTAAAAACAAAATTATAACAGCACTTCTAGATTCTTCAAATTGCTAGGATCTAATGGGTTTTGTTTTAGCACAATAAAAATTCACAATTGAAATGTCCTTTTGAAGCTTTTCATCGGCAGCAATCGACTCGATTTGAAACGATAACATCTTTGTTCGGTCCATGTCTTAAAAAATGGTTTTACTCTTTTAATTTTTTGGTTAAAATGCAGAAGCTTACGAAAAGAACACATAAAGATAAAAATACAACAAGCTCCTTTAAACGCGTTATTACATCGCGATATCACGTTGCATTTTGCTAAAAATTTGGCAATAGTTGTTGGATCAAAAATTTGGTTCTATTTTAGGGTTTTGAAAAATTTTATTTCTTTCAGTTGCACTAGGCAGCTATGCAGCAAATGGGTACTAGAAAATTGGAATGCGCGTGATTGATCCACCTGTTGCGATAAAAAAAGAGGAAACGAGGCCGCAACTTTTATATAGGATAAAATTGCCTCCAGAGAAAAGTTATTTAATTGAAGGATTGAGTACATGTTTAAAGAATTTAGACTTATAAGAAATGCTTAACGTTACATTCTCACTTTATTGTTTAAGTCGCCGCTCTAGGCTCACGTTATCAGTATTTAACTGTACTTAACTATAGCACAAGCTTCTCTACTTTTATTTTTCATAAGAACTTTCCTTTTTGGATTTGGATTATCATTTTGGTTACTTTTAATGATAATTCTCATGTTTAGATGCTACGAAATGGACTGGGTAATCTACTTCAACAGAGCACCCGACTGCTACGCGGTGGACCTGTTCAGACGACGACTCCCCTGCCCGATAAGCTCTTCAAAAGTATCGAGCTCGAAATGAGAGGCCACGATCCCGCCGTTTTACGCTCGTATACCACATTTCTGAAGACTGTGTGTGGTCATTTGAATATTCCGCAAGGACGTCTACAAGTGCTTCCTTATGTGAGATGGATTCAATACGCTCTCCGGTCGAAATTCGTTCACAAGAAGTACAAGCTGCACTACGAGACGCGAACACACATCACGAAATTCGAGGTCAAAGAGCTTACTGGGAGCACGGCGTCGACTTTTTTTGGAATACATTCAACGGAATATCCCGGAAGGCGTTGCGATGAGAGTCGGATATGAAGAACTTCGACCGCTTCCAAATACGATCGTCGATCATTCGAAAAAGGAAACGGCTGCTCAATGAATTTCTAGGCTTACAAAACATTTTCAGTTTATGATTTAGATTATTTTCAATTATGTTGTCCGTTTTGTACATACGTTGTTCTTGATTGTTACAATGTGTTTCAATAAATATACAATTTAGATTTGATGCAGAGCTCGTCGGGCTCAAGCAGTAGCTTCGATGGCGTTGAATGGAATCGGATCGTCAATCGGTTTGCATTTTCAGTAGAGCAAAATTGAAAATTCTATTGAAAATTTAGGGTTTTGAATGCGTGGGGTGGTTACCAGTTGGCTGTTCAAATGGACGCTGGTGGACCTGATACAAAAGAGAAACATGAGGTTGAATTTTTGTCTCAATTATTGACTACAATTACATTTGTGGACTGATGTACCTATTTTTAAAAGTTGTTTAGTGGTTTGCAAGTGTCTTGGCCGAGCATATTCACGAAAAAAAGGGGCTCAAGATTGATAACCTAGAAGAATGGATGGAGAACATTCTTTACACGGATTTTGATTTGGTAGGCATTATTATTATGCTTTGTTAATATTTTTCATAGGTTCTTGAAGACGATAGCATTAACCCGACATCACATATCCTACTTGAGCTCCACAGGTTTATTTAATCAGCCAAATTTTATAAAGTTTTTAGTTATTTGAAGACAAACAATCGTATGAGGTTAGAACAACTACTCGCCAACACTTCCAAACGAAGAAGAGATAAGAAAGGCAGCAAATGTATGATTTTGCTTTGTACTGTTCTCAACAATTCGTTAGGAGTCACGGGGCCTCGATGATGGAGCAAGCACAAGCGGCGATGAGGATGCAGAAATGCAAGAAAACGCAGAAAATGAAGCTGAAACTTCAGGTTAATTTTTTTAATTATGCTTAATTGGTATTTATTGCCAAAGCTATCTTTACGCAAACAATTGGCGTACATCTTTGCGCTCAATTGAGCGAAAATCGAATTGAATTTTCTTTTCTCTTCCACCCTTTTTCTGTCTCCTTTTCTCCTCTTTCTCGCTCATTGCACGGAGGTTCTAATTGACTTTATCGAGCGCATTTTTCCGAGTTTTCTCAACGATTTCCCAAATAGCGATTTCAGGTGTCCTTGAAGTTTTTAAAAATATTAAGTATTTCTTTAATTCTTTTAGCGCTTTTAATCCCAGCGGTCAAAAAGTTTCCAAACTAAAAATTTTGCATTTCACATTTTACAAGTCATTTTACGAGCATGAGTCAATCAATTTCGAAATGTTTCCTGGTTATCAAAAATCACGTTGAAAAATAATAAGCACCTCCTTATTGGAAATTTGCAGTTTTGTATTGCATTTGTCAGATATCCAGACTTTCCTAAGCTTTAAAAACTCTGAGCCATCTTTAATACATTCTCACTAGATTCTGTTCAAAAATAAGCCTTTTGCTAAAAAATAAATCCACGGTTGATATTTACTCTTTTTTTTTCCAGGCCCCGGGTACCAAAAGAAAAGCAACCACGGACGGTGACAGACGATGATGGCTGGACTACAATTGTCAAGCGAAAATAAGATTTTATCGTCATGAACTTTGTTATATCTCTATTTTATGATTACCTTTGATTGTTTGTTGAACATTTTTCTGTATTTGACTGGGTAATGGGGCGATAAGCTTATTTCTTTTAATGGTTGCGATTGGCAACCAGTGCCGAGTGTGAACTAAATCTTGAAAGGCGGTTTTCCCCTCCGTTATCACCGTCTTTCCTTCTCAACCTTTGTTGATTTTTATGTGCCTTTGTTTTTGAATACCAGAGTCTAATTCTTTTGTTACTTGTACCTTTTATTTTGTTACTGTTATAAATTTCTTTTACTCTATCTCTAGTGGGCCTGGATCACAAAAATATGTGGGATAGTCGGTCTCTTGTCTCTTATCAACTCACCGAGTCATTCCTTTTACGGAAAAATTTCTCTTTTGGTGGTTAATCTTTGTAAACACGATTTGGTTGAATTGCGATAGTCGTTTGCCGATTTAATGTTAATATTGAAATAGTTTTAGCTCATGTATTCTCCACTTTCTCCTCATTTAAATCAAGATTGGCGATCGAGTTTATCGCAAGCGGTCAACAATGCTCAACTTTATATGAGGAAACGCGACAAAAACAAGTTTGACCAACAAAGTGAGAAGAATTAGGAAAAATTCAGGCTGAATTCATAAACTACATCTGCGAATTGCAACGACTTCAGGGAATCATGACCCAGATTGAAGCTGAACAAAACCCTGAGAAACTTCAAAAAGTAAAAAGAGCCCAAAAATCGATCGACACAAATTGCAGGCACGTCAACATATTCAAGGCGAACAACAAAAGCGGCTCAAGTCTATGAATCGGTGATCGAGAAGCGCTCGCAATCGACTTCTGTACTCCACAACGGAATGCAAATTGTGCTTGAGTTACAGGTGCTAAACACTTCCTTGTATGAAATAGACGGCCATTTTCAGACAGAACTCATCAATAACCGGTTGTTTTCTTGGAAAAATCAACAGCGAATGAACAAAATCGGATTTCCGCACGATGATGCCGAGGGAAAGCTTGATGAATTGCAAAAAGAGTAAGTAAGAAAAAGTGGCAAAACTTTTGAAACCACGAAGAAAGTTTTCAGGTTTCAATGGTTAATCGAACAGATTTGGCAGCTCAGAACTCATGCCAGCTACCAGATGGAATTAATGCAAAGGTTTGCAATGGATCAATTCAAGATTAGAAACTATAGCCAAGATTACGGTAGTTGTCGAAAGTTTATATGTTTTAGAAAAAAAACACAAAAGATCTTCAGCAAAACTAAAATTCTCTTCGATATATCAAATTTAGAGGTCCTCAGAACAATAACGATCAAAACTCGCCGATTTTCGCTCAAAATCTCTCGCTCATTGTCGAACAGCTGAATAATGTGCTTAAAACATTAACGTTTCATTCATTCATCGTATCGAAGCAACCCGAATTGATCCTCAAGACTAGTACAAAGTTTAAAGTGGGAGGTGAACACATTTTGCAAATGTTTCAAAGATGAATTTCAGACAAGACTCCTCATTGGCGACTCGCTTGGGATGCGACAAAATTTGGTCAATACGAATGTTACAGTGAAAATCATCGCCGAAGAGGGATGCGAAACAGCTGGCGATTGGGCAAAGCGATGAGAAGAATATGTTAGTCAGAAAAAACTTCTCCCTTACTTTAATATAATGTCTAATTGGAGATTCATTTCCAGTCGATCAATTGGCGAGATCACGAATGCTCTCGAAAAGATCACCATGAACGACAAAGGGCATATTTGCGCAAAATTCGATAACTCGGTTGGTGTAAGCCTAATTTTCCTTTGAAATTTGAAATTCCAGAAATTGATGAAAGTGATGGCTCGTGGGAAACAGCAAGGCCGAAGCTCTAATGATCAAAAAAGTAGCACAGCGACCACAATCACTGATCAGAAATACGCTCTACTCTTCCAGATCAGCTCGTTTCAATTCGAGAGTCTCGGAAAGGTATAGTAATAACTATATAAATTGTACTAGCTTTAACTGATAGCACTAATTAGTTCTTATTCAGAACCTGAATTTTTAGATGGACATTTGGTGCCTCTCGTTACCTTTAATGGTCACTGTCAACATTTCACAGGATTGCAATGTCCGAGGACCGATCTTGTGGAGAGTCGCCTTTTGGAGGCACGGTAAGCAAAATGACTTTTCAACTAGGCTTGTTAACGAAAAAAAACGGAAAATTGAATGTCTTTTGATTTTCAAAGTAAAACCCAACGAATAAGGCAGCTACGCACGGCGACGGAAAAACCGAGAAAACGTAGCTGCCCCATTTGTTGACTTTTTCTTTGAAAATTAAAGATATTCGAGTCGAGTTTGCAAAATCGAATCACTTTATTTCAGAACTGGAACCAAGACGGCGTTGATTCGGACCATGCGGTCTCATGGGCCAATCTCTATCCCGTACTTCAGTATCAATTCAAAGAGTTCACTGGTGAGAAGAGTAACTCCATAAAGAAAGCAAACCCATTTCTTCAGGCGCTAAACGCTTACTTAATGAATCCGATCTGAGATATCTCTACGAGAAACTGTTCAACTCGTCGGCAATCAATCTCGAAGCGACAATCAATTTTGAGCGATTTGCCAGAGTAGGAGTTGCTCGAGTTTTTCAAAAAATATTCTTTTCAGGTGAATTTACATGGGACCAATTTCTCTTTTTGGGATTGGTTTTACTCGATTATGTGCCTGGTGAAACAAAAATTGCTGAAATATTGGGAAGACGGGTGGTGCATTGGATTCATTACAAAGCAAGACGCCAACGATATTCTCAAGCAAGGACCAGCCTTTTTGCTCAGGTGGGAGAAATAAGAATGTAAAAGTTATTTAGCCTTATAAACCTTCATACTGTAGGCTTACTGTAGTTCGACAGGGAACTTGAACTTTACTGTGACTTCTACCTTCTTACAATACCTTATTTCTTTTAAACTTAAGCGTTAAAACTACAGTACCCCCGTTATCTTCTTGAGATCTAAGCTCATTTTAAAAGTCACAAATCTCATCATCAATCCCGATTTCCAGATTTTCCGACTCTCAAATGGGCGCGGTGAGCATCGGCTTCTCGACGCCGAACATTCCGAGTCATCTCGCTCCATTCACCACAAGAGATCTAGATCTACTTTCGATTTCGCAAAGAATCGCCACCTGTCCTCAACTCAAAGACACTATTCAGTAAGGAAATCCAATCAGAATATAATACAAGTATATTAAGTTAGTTAGTCTTTATAATTTTTTCAAATTTTTTTTATTGAAAAGAATCCTTTACCAAATTTGTTAACTATTAAAAAGGTCTATAATTTCTCTACAAAATGGCTTTTAAGAGAAAGCTCAAATCTCGTCTCAACTCAGTAAAAACGCATTTTTATGTAAAATTTTCAATCACTGTTTGAAAGAAAATGGCTGAACGGATAGTTTTCTCAAATTTTACAGACTTATGTAATCAAATAAGCTCTATCTTTTTTTACCTTGATACCAAAATGGGTTTTTATTGAAGAAAGTGTCCAAATTGCAACTTCAGCATCGGAGCAGTTTTCGGTGCTCACCTTTGTGCATTTGAAAATCCACAACAACACCACTTTCAAGAATTTCCCAAAAGCCATTTTGCAGAGAAAAATATCAATCTTTTTAATAATCCAAGTATGAATTTTGTTGGTGAAAAAAATAAAAATTAGAAATAGAAAATCAAAAACAAACAGAAATTCAAAGTTTATTTTTGAAAGATGTTTGGAAAAAATTGTAAAATGTTACATTAACCTAATATTACCTAGATGTATCATGGGAAAGATGGCCCAGTCCCAAAAGAAGAGATCGTTGAGATAGCAAAGGAGGAGGAACAAACGAATACGCAAACGAATCGTTCGACAGGATATGTGCACAGTCAAATCATAATGGTCATTGATTCGTCGGGAGCTGGGTAGGTTGATAAAGAATAAATCAAGCAGCTATTTTTAGTTTCGATGGAAATTCTCCGAGCAGTGGGGGCACCACGCCGTCACCGTTCGATTCGTCGTTATACTCGCAACAATTCTCACCTGGGGAAATCATTCGACCAAATCATCTGGGTGACTTGTATGTGTGCTGAAACATAGCAAAAGCTCTCATCATTGCGTAATTAATCATTTTCAGATTAATTACGCAATGGATTAATTTTCAGGATTAATATATTGTAAATCTAATCGAATCTATTTTTGTGTCCAGGACTGAATCAAATCAAAGTAAATAAATTGAATGAAGCTAAAGACAAGATTATGGTAGTTTTCAGAAGTTGACACTTTTTAGAAAGCACTTCATTGAAGAGAAAAAATGATCTAATCCCAAATACGGTACTCTTATTACCCTTCGAATACAAACTTGTAGATAAAATATGCCTAATTGTAAGTATCTGCCAAATTCTATTCCAGTAGCTCAATGGATTTTCGACTCAACGTACGGTGATGTGAATACCCTTTTGGGGGAATTTGTGGGCACTTGGCAGAACCCTCCAATCGCACCCAATCTCAACACTCCGACCATCGAAAGACTAATCAATGTCCCGCAAGCATTTAGCCCAAACAATACGAATGTGCAAGTCGATCATCAAGGGAACAATTTCCCGAATAATCCATCAACTTTCTAGAGTTCTCTAGTAAAATATCACGTTCTTAAACTTTTCTCTTGTCGTTCCATTCAAGTTCGACCGCTAACTAAAGTTTTAGCTTTGGGTTTAGTCTGCTCAAAATTTCTCCGGTTGTTCAACAAATCTTTCCTGTGATTTGCATTTATCATTTTCTCTTGCTTATCCCATAAAATCTGTGATCTCTTTAAGTATTTCTGACTTTTCTATTGTTTTTACTTACAGTAATCTAAATAAATATTTGAAAAAAAAGCGTTATTTTTATTATCGATTCCTGCAAAGGATACAAAAGTATATCTGTTTCTATGAAAATGGATGCTGTTTTGAATATCTTTAATGAGAATGACTATATGGAGTTTAAAAATTCTTACTACCGTAAATCCTCTATTGTTCGATGCTCGTTTTTCGAATCCCCGAAAATCGCATTGTTGAAAAAATTGTTTCTTGCTTAAATCACTCTAACTCGATTCCTTTTTGTCTAAAACATATGAAAAACAGATTTGGGAACTAAGAACCTTTCCTCTGGAGGACCATTGAAAGGTCAATCTTCGAAAATAAATATGGGGAATCCCTTATCATTTTTGACAAGAAGCTTTTCAAATTTTTCCTTCCTAATAAAAAAATCTTACTGCTGTCACTTGTAGGTTAGATCTCGTAATAGTAAACATAATTATAATCACTTTTTACAAAATATTTTGGGGAAAAATTTAACTTTCTGTTAGCGTTAAATTAAGGGATGCCGCTCTAATAGAGGATTTATAATATTAGTGTTTTTGACTAATGATTCTAAGTCTATTTAAACTTTTTCTGGTTTCTTGCAATTATGGAAACTTTTCATGTAATTTATTGCAATCTTAGAAAAAAAATTTTTTTCGTAGATTGCAAATTTCTAATTCATTTCTTTCCAATGACCTTGAACGCTTTTTTTGGTGTCATTTGATTAATGGATCGTTGGTTTAGTCGATCATCTTTTTACTTCGAAACACACGCTTGTGAAAATTGTTTAATAGAGAAGACAGATTCCGAGAAAATTTATTGAAATAATAGGGGAAATTGTTGAGAAAGCATTTTTATTTTAGGGGAGATGCTGGCTGGCGGATCGAATGGACCCGAGGATATTCGAGCCGCGCTATCACAAGCGGCCAAAGATGGCCAGAATTTGTGGGAGGAGAATAGAGATCTACAGGTAAATTAGTTTGTTATTCGATTAACTAAAATATCTTTTAGATATAGATTTTAGGCATAAGTGGATCTGTTTTGTTTATTTTCCATTCTGGCGGAGTTGAGCGAGATATGTAGTAGCCTTTACAAACAACCCTCTTGAATATTTGATGGTAGTAGGCTTTTTAATGATACAATAGCTGCCAAATTACCTGAGTATCTTTTTGCTGATTGGAAGTAAAATCATTGTTCAATGTCACCGTGAAAAGTTTCAGTGTTTGGTCTAAAAATGACTAAAAAAAAGACATTTCATTCACTTCTGCTTTCACCTATCAATAAACAATATTTTTTGATGACGACGAAATTATAGGTAATGGATTCGTGAGAACAGATCTGGGCGAGCTTCGCAGAGAATCCAAATGGCCATCGGACAACTCGAATCCGAAACAAAGATCCGATCAGTTGGCAACAGGTTTGCTTCAATTTTTTGCCGCATAAAGAATTCTGAATTCATTTTATCATTTAATATTATCTAAATAAGATACATTTTATTAAGTATTACATTTATTTTATTACAGTCTAAATAACAAGATGCAATGCAGGCTCGCCAATCGATGCAAGAATGCAGCGTCGTGCCTCACAACCTACGAGATGCTCATCGATCGACGCGCCCAGCTTACGACTCGTTTAAATAATGGGCTACAATTTGTGGCCATGTTGCAAGTATAACCTAGGAAAACAGCTCAATTATACAAAGTTCACAACAAATCTGTAAACTCGAACTTTTTGCAGAACTCCTTGATCAGCGAGCGCTTGTTCAACTGGAAAAACCAACAAAAGCTGGCCCAAGTCGGCTTCCCGTTTGAGAATCGAGATCAATGCTTGGATGAGATACAGAAAGAGTTTGAAATTCCTTCAGAATTCCTACATGAATTTCTTAGATTTGAATTTCTCGCCGAACAAAATTGGCAACTACGAACCTTCGCTTGCTATCAACACGACTTCGTTAAGCGGTAAAAGACTTTAAGAAAAGAAACAAAGAAGAAAGAAAGAAGAAAAGAAGTTCTCGAGGAAAAAAAACTATTCTAGCGGTCCACAACTAAACGACAACAATGCACAAACGTGTGCCCAGAATATCTCAGCAATCATGGATCAATTGTCGAAACTGTTATGCATGCTCGTCTCGCAATCTTTCGTGGTCACCGTTCAACCGGATCCCGTGCTCAAAACACAGCACAAATTTGGAACTGAGGTTGGTTGTTGGAGGTTGGGTTACGGTAGTGGGATTGTAGCATTAAACCCCCGGATAACGGTACTGGGTAACGGTAAGAGATCCCGGGTTACGGTAATAGAGCGCACGGGATACGGTAACGGGTTACGCTACTGGATAACTGCAATAGAATCACAATTTACGAGAAGTTACGACACTGGATGGGCAACAGATCCCCGTGATACGTGATACGACCACGGCAACCTAGACAACAAGCCTTTGTCCTTTTCCATCCATTTAGCATTCAGTAGTTGGAATTGGAAATGAATTAGAAACTCTTTGCTCTTGTTACCAAACGCGTTTTTAATTTAAAGTTTAGATTTATTCTGCAAGATCCCATTTCTAGGTCCGTTTACTGATCGGCGATATTCCCAAGTTATTCGTCAAAATCTGGTGAAAATGAATGTCACTCGTGAAAATCATTGCCGAAGAAGACGCGAAACTTCTCTCATCTGGGCAACTTTCTGAAAAAGACATGTATTTAAGAAATTGGGTTACCTCAAAAAGTCTTTCCAGAAAAACTGTTGGCTCGATCTCGAACGATTTCGAGAAAATGATGATGGATGAAAAAGGGCATATGGCTGCGAAATTCAACAATTCGGGTGAGAAAAAACAGATGGCGATATTATAAAAAACTATTAGGCTGTCCAGAAAGCCTTCGTCCCTTTTAGTATATTCGTTTTCGTAAAAATAGCAAATCACCAATTAACCTATGAAAAGACTTTCGGGACAGCCTAATAGTATTGGGTATAACAACTGAATGTAATGATAAATAAATTGATTTTCAGAAACTCACACGCATCGCCCATCGAAAGCAAACTCAAAGAAGTGCGGCTGAGCAGAGGAACAAATCCCACTTCGGCAGCCACCCGAGATCAGAAATACGCTCTTCTCTTTCACATCAGTCCATTCCAACTGGGAAATCTTGGAAAGGTTAGATTGATTCGATTTTGATGTTAGATCGTTTTGATTGATTAAATGGATTAGTAGCCTTGATGTAACTATAACACTAAAGGAAAACTCAGGCAAAGCTAGCCTTGTCTTGTTAGCTTACCCAGACTAGGAAATCGGCATACACGTTTTGAACCATTTTATCAATATCGTTAAGCAAATAAACTTTAGTGAAGCACTAGAATAAGCAATATATTTGCAAAAACAGTACTCAAACCTTATTTTGTTTAGTTTGATGTGTGTGGACAATGTCCCTACCCTTAATGGTCACTGTTCATGGGTCACAAGATTGCGATGCACAAGGGGCAATCTCTGGCAGAGAGCTTCAGCACCAAGGTTGGTGGGTTGTTCTGATTGGAATATCTGTCTTAAATTGGATTTAAAGATATTCAATTTTCATCAGAACCGTGCCTGTAGTGGTTGCGACATTCAGCACGTCGCCTGGCAAGAGCTGGGTGAAGTCATTCGATACAAGTTCTCACTATTCACAGGTACTCAGGCGCTTTTTGCTAACCAATAGCTGCATGTCTTTTACGAATTGAAACCAATAGCTGTTATTCAAAAAAACTTTGCTATCAATTCCTCTAAATATCGTTTAAAAATCCATGGGTTGAACTTTTCCTTCAGGTGCTCGTCGTCCTCTCTCCGATTCTGATCTCAACTATTTATACGAGAAATTCTTCGTCTCAACGCGCAAGACATCAAACCAATAACGTTCAATCTGTTTTGCAAAAGTAATCTCAAAATTCAATTCAAAAACCTTAAATTTTCATATATAAAGGAAAGACTATGGAATGATGTGAATTCTATTCTGGGAATGGCTATTCTCGATCATGCAGCTCATCAAACAAAAGTTACTCAAATTTTGGGATGATGGTAGGCTTAAGATACTTTAATATTAATTTTCATGATTTAGTATTTGATTTCAGGTTGGGCATAGGATCATCTCGAAGCAGGGAGTTTGACGCGATGCACTCTTTCACCTGAGCCAACTCTCTTCCTGCTTTGGTACGGGAAATTGGTGTATTCATTAAGGCTTGGCATAAGCTGTTAGCGCTAGGATGTTCTGAATTAAACTCAAGGCCAATTCAGAATCCTGATTGGTTTAATTCTAAATCTTGTCCTAAATGGACTTATTAGATCCTAGTGGGAAAAACAGAGATTTTCCAAACTGTTCTCTAAACTTTTCCTGGACTAACAACCCAAATTGGGCCAAAACTAGGTCCGATTTTGGTTCCTATTCTTCCAGGGATACATAATCTCTGGTTGGATAGATTTAAACATTTCTGGATTCACCTTTGAATAAGAGAATTTCTGCTAGCAAACAAGTAATTCTAAACCATATTTAAAGCTATCTAAAGTTTGTCTTGTCTACTCATCCTTTCAGCTTTTTTCTGACACTCAAACTGGAGCGTGAGCATCGGTTTTGTATGTGATGGAGTTCCGTTCTATCTCGCTCCATTCTCGATCAAAGATCTCGGCAAACAACTTTCTCTTGCACAACGAATCGTTTCATGTCCCCAATTAGCGATATACGGTAAATAAAACAGCATTTTTGTTGGAATACAATAAAAAAATTCAATGAACTCGTTAAGATACTCCTTTGGGCAAAACGGGAACGTGGACAAAGAAGAGATGTTGAAATATTTCGAGTCTGAAGAAAGACATAAAGCTGGCGGTGACAGTCCAACAACAGGCTATATTCTATCGGAGATCATGGGAGTTGCGAACACGTCTGGGTACGGATTAAGTGTTCTACAATCAGTCAGCCACGCTAATACAATGTGGAACTGTAGAAACGATATCTTCCCATTCAGGCGCTACCAAACTCGTTTGGCACCCTGATTCCCCGTCTCCACTTCAGCTCATTCACGGCTTGATTGGTCTCCCGGTGAAGTGATTCAACCACTAAACCTTCGATGGAAATGTGTAAGAATTCGGGGGCACGATTGAAAAATCTATTAAACATAATCATCTTTTCAGCTCCGATTACCCGATGGCTCCGTTTGAGCTGGAAGGGAGAGGGATCGAGGCTTTACTAGGCGGTGGTTTCCCAGGCTTGCCATCTGATCAACCTCTGCAAACTGGATTGATCTCCGGATTTTCGAGACTTTCCAGAATCAGCAAAAATTTCATGTGGTCGCAAACCCCCGGGGATCAATATCCTTACCATGAACATCGTCAATATCAATAAGTTTTATCAATTGAGTTCGAATCTCTTGGCAACAAGGCTTTGAACCGAATTCCAGACAATGCTATAGACACGCAGACGATTTTTTAAGAATCTTATTCATTTTGTTAACAATTGTTAGTGTTTTCGTTTTAAGATTTAACTTATTCAGATGAAATTTCACGATGAACGATCTCTCCTAAAATGTCATATTCAATGAACTGATATCTTCATTTCTTTCCCTCCAAACTAGCTACTCTACATAAATTCTCATTCATTATCATCCTCAGCATCGCTTTTTGCACATTCAGGCTTCTCCTTCTTTAGTCCTTTGCTTAGAACGTCAGCTTATTAAGGGAATGGTCGGTATTGACCGAATATCTTAAACCTTGAATATAAATGAAAATATGTTTGCATTAAAATCCCAGTCCTTTGCCCTACTACAGAAGGAAGGTATTCAGGTGCAAACTGAATATCTTTCATTCCAAAGACTGGATGATATATGAAGCCAACAGCAAATATCAGCCTACTTCAAGCCTAAACTAGTTAGCGAATCTTGATATTGAACTAGACAAAAGATATTCAATCAAGTTTAATGATCATTTCTATTCTGAACTCTTATCGAACTTGTCAAGTTGTGTGTCTGTGTCGTCCCATTTTCTTCAGTTTCCCCCCTTTCAATTAATCTCCCTCTCACGTGTGTCCATCCAAAAACCATATCCGATCCCTCAATCGTAATCAAAAATAGAAAACTTTATTTGTTTTTAAAGAATAAAATGCTTTAAATTCAAAATATCACAAAAAAATTTGAGCACAAAATTAATAAGATCTGTATAGACATGGAATAAAAAGAGGGAACTGTGTAAAAAGTGTAAATGTGTGTAAAATTATTTTTCTGGAATTTGGAAACGACATAATACTGCCGTTTCTTAACCATTTCAAGGAGAACAAGACCAGCAGAATACAGCATAATTTTTATGGGATGTCTGGAATTAAAGCATTTGGTTACTAAACCAAACTCTTAGTAGACTTGTGCGTACTTTAGGGTCGCTCAATCGCGCCGGTTTTATCGCCAACGAGGAATGTATCCTAAATCGTCTTCAAAAAACCTCAAAACAGATGGAGAAAAGTCCACCTGTTTTGAGGTTTTGTTTTTTTTCGGAGGACGACCACTGCTGGCAAGGCGAACAATGCGTCCCAGTAGCAGTTGCGACTTGTGGCATGAAGCGTTGTCCTGGTACAGCAGCCATCCTTGGGTCCAATGTTTGCGGTTGCAAATGGAAGAAGATCGTTCTCAAAGATTACCATGCATCGTTGAACGTTCAGGGTTGAATTAAGAAGAATCAAGCCGACCTGGTGAACTTCTGTTCAACGCCCTAAAAAAACAAAATCGGTAGGCATAAATATCAAAGTTGCTTATCCCATAACAAAGATAATCTGCCAACACCTTGGACTGTCGGACGAAGGTATTCGGTGTTATATTGTTTTCTGATAGGTCTCCGGATTAAATGATTGCCATCGGAATTCAAATGGTTGATTTTCGATTCATCAGTGAAAATTATACTGGCTCCGTCCAACTTTCGTATTTCTCTTGGCGAAGTCGAGTCCGATCTTCCGGTGTTTGGCGACCATCAAAGGCTTCTTGGAGGCCCTTCTTGTCATAAGTCTTGCATGAATCAAAACGTCGACTCGTTGTCTTTCGATTGATATCCTTGTTAAATTGCTGCTTGGATCATCATAAGACTTCTGTAAAAGCATTAAGACTTGGATCCTTTTTGTGGGCCAAAATTAGAGCCTTGTCTTCTTGTTGTTGGGGACGGATGAACGACCTGTTCATTGAAGAGTTCCAGCCGTTTTTCTTCTGGCAAAGTTTTTCACCGTCTCGGGGCTGCATTTGAATAAGCTCGCAACATTCTTTACTTTATCACCTTTTTCCCTTGCTTCCACAATCTTTTCTCGAAATGAAACAACAGCAATAACATAAAAAAGCTGAAAAAAACGGGTAAAGACTTTTGTCCACCTGTTTTGAGGTTTTTCTTGTTAAGGTCGTTGTTTGTTGCTTGAAATAAGTTGTTTTTTATTTTGGTTAGTGGATATGTGTAACTAGCGTAAAAATGCTACAAAATACTTTAGAAACCATTTTTAAAGCTTGTCAAAAAGTTGAAAAATTTCGCGTTTTAAAAGCCACTGGGGTAGAGGTAAAGACTTTCTTCCATGACTGTATGATAATCAGACACGCATTGCCTAGTTTTGGGTAAAAGCCATGTCGACCTAATGATTGGGCTTTCAGCAGGAAGCTTTTGTTTGCAATCAGTCGATTTGGACTCTTGAGCTTCTGTGAACTAGAGCTTGAATACCTCCTAAATATTTCCAGCCAAAAAAAGCAAATATGAAGTAGGTAGCATTTCAAAGTAAAAAAGTTGCTGGTTTGGATTCTTTTCTGAAAAATTTTCTAGGGAGGCTATTTTGCAAGCCACTTTCTTTCGTTCTTTTGTCATAGCTCAGCTTTCATTCACCAAAACAGGATAAAAACTTGCTAACAAAAAGATAATCGAATACTAACAATGTTTAGAAAGTGCGATAAAAACACATAGTTCAGTGTTTGAGCAATTCCAAAAACAAAACTCTGGTTGTGCGATGTAGCCTAGACTTAATTGAGTGATTTAAACAAGAGCCTCCCATTGAAGCTCAGACATTAGATCGGGATGAAACTTTGCCCAAAGCTAGCAATGCGTGTCTGATTATCATATTAAGAATTTATAAAAAAACCATGATTTACCTTTAATGAAACAAAAAACAAAAGGTGCTATCAAGAATTAGTACTTAACCTAATAGTAACCAGAAATAAGTTTAGGGTTTTTAATTTCAAATTTTTGTAATTTAAATGCCTTTCCCTGATATCAATCACTACAAATCTATTTTCTTGCGAGCCAAAAACTCTAGTCTTTACTCTCCTGAAACTCCTGAAACTGTCTTCAAAAGTTTGTTGTCTGAAATTTGTTCTTCAAATGTCTAAAAATCAGGTCAAAGAGTGGGAATTAAGCTGAAATTGTGGGAGTTTTTGGACAAAACGCCAAGATCTAAAAAGCCAAAACACTAAGCCAAAAGCCAACTTGATAAGACTTAGAGGGGAAATGGGAGAACATTTGAGACTTTAAAAGAATTTGAACTTGGGCTGCCTTGGGCTGGGGGGACTTTGGACCAAGTTCAACCGGAAAGACGAATGAAATATATCCCTACAGGGTGCGGGAAGATTATTGACTGCCCCTATAAGCCTTGTAATTTTCTTGTCCACAAAGATAAATTTCAATGTAAAACAGCGAAAATAACTTACAAAAAAAAGTTATTAAAACCGGTTTGACCTGCTTTTGCGCGGATGCATTCGTGAACAAGACCATATTAATGATTTCGGGGTCGATCTATCTGGAAGAAGAATCTAGGAAATGAAGATCTCAAACAACTTCAGCAATTCATCGCTATAATCTCTCGACTTGAATGGCACTGTTTGCCACATCTAATGAAAATATCGAGCTAAAGAAAAACGAAAAATAAAAATGTCACCTTTGCCCATTTGGGAATGTTGGAATGCATGTCCATCAAATTCGGGACAATTTTGCTTTTGTTAGTGAATTTTCTCACAAGCCATGCTCAAGCCATAATGTTCGACAGGCTTTCATGGTTTTATGGTCCAGAAGATGTAAGGGACTTTAGCTCTTGGTCCCTAAAGTGATCAGGGCAGTGATGCAGATAAATTATAGTTCAAGAAAATACGCATCAATGGTTTATAGGCTGTGTTTTCAAGTAATCAAAGTGTTTACTAAAAGATGTGCTTGAGAAAAAGCTACTGTACTAGTTGGTTTTAAAAATTGAAGCAAACTATATGACTTTGGTGGCTTGGGGAAATCAATCCAATGAGTGGTTTCAGCAGAAAATAAGAAAACGAAACAACACTGTCTTTAATTTGATTCCCTTATCTGAGGCTTTCTGTTTCTGCCAAAATTTATGACTAAATTCTATCCTGTTCTAAAAACATTAATGTTACACTGTAGGATGTGCCACTATTACCCCAATGTACACAAAAGCACCTATTAACCAATTCAATTAATTAGCCTAAGGTTTGCTCTCAATCAAAAGTGCTTATTGTTCAATTTCCGTGTTTGAGTTCAATTGGGTCTACCTCAAGCAAATTCGAGAGTCAAGCAATGTCTTTAAATCTAAGGAAACATCTAGAAGAAGTCTAGGAAGAAGGCTGAATCAATTTCTCGAAAATTTGGTTATATAAAAATTAACTTTTGTGCTCTCTACCTTTATCATTGACAATGAAGATATGTGGTTATAATAAGATCGAAAATGAGCTATTGAGGCATCCTGATCGAAAATGACATAAGATCGATAGTAAAAATAGTAAATTGATATATCGATAGTCAATCGATAGTAAAAGCCCAATCGGGACAAACAAATGACTGTTTTCAATTTCTATAAGGATATTTAAACGTGTTTTCTAAATGAAAACAGTGAGAACTAAAATTGTATAAAACCTGAAAAAGTTGATTTAAACAAGAAAGAAATATAATCCTATTTACCTGCGAAAAAAAGGGCCTATGCGAAAGTGGTGTCGTGTGTCTGTTTTTATGCTGAGTCTCACAAGCCTTCTTCCCCTGTTCGAGAATCTATTATGTTTTGTAGCGTTTTTAAAATACTCTCTCCCTCGTTAGTTTGTTTTTTAT